ATTGATATTAATTATTTCTCAAAGGTCTAACTTAATTAATTTATGCTTTCTATATTAATCATATGACAACCGTGACAAATTAATGTATCCTTACCCTTCATCGTTGACATATTGAATATAAATTCTTATCTGAACAAAAGCCAGAAATTTCACTATTTAGAACAATCACAAGCGTATCCTAACTATTCAAACTTCAACAAAAGCTTTGGAATATTCTAGAACAATTGAAATCTTCTCGTTAATGCTACCTAGCGCTTTTTTTCCGTTACTAATACTCCTGCTGTTCAGCTACCTTGCAGTATAGGATGATGCTTAGTGGTAGATTCATTAGTTCGATATCTTTTCTACAACTGATAATAGCTGTAGCTCTGGACAGAAGACCAGTCTGATGCAGAGTTCTTGCGCTCTCCATACACACTAGTTAACCAAAAGAGTAGGGGTATATTACAACGGAGTCAACATGCTGTCCGACAGATGATCGGAAAGAAACAGCCATTAGTGACTTACCCAGGGTCATTTCATAGCTGATAGTACGAAGACTTCAACACAGTACTTCCTAGATACGTGTCGAACTATGTAGCTATGTAGACTTCTGGAAAAAGAGCCTACTTCCTGTAATGCTAAGATATGTAAGGTGGGAAATCGCAAAATCTCGACATAAAAGTTATACTCACTATTTTCTTCGAAAATGTATGTGAATTCCACAAAAAAATTAATATGCAATATTTTTTTTATAAAATGAAAAAAACAACACTAACTAATACATACGAAAGTTCTTCATTTTTGACTTCTTCTGTTTTTGGTGACATTTTTTCTTCTTCATTTTCTTTCGCCACTCTAAATATATAAAATAAAATTTTTTTATGAAAACTTCATTTATAACTTTTAACATACTTTTCACGTTGTCTAAGATGTTCGTATTTTCTAATTAATTGTCCATATGCTGTATTATGAATATTCATTTGTATCGATGGTTTACTTAATGTTTCATCAGTTTTTTTTGTTAAATTTGTATTATCATTATTTTTACCACCTCTTAATAGTGGATGTAAATATGAATCACCTGCTTCATCTTCATCATGACTACTATTTTGATCAATACCTAAAATTTATATAAGATTAAAAAATCAATAAAAGACTTTAACATATTGTTTATTTGTTTTTGACGTACCATTTTTATTTGATTTTTGCTTTTGATTATTATTATTATTATTTGAAGTGTTATCAAAATTAGGACGATATTTTCCAGATTTAATCATAATAATTAAATGACGATAATATGGATTAAGATAATGATCATATTTAAGAAAATCAAATTGAGGATTTTTTGCTTGTTTTGTTTTAAGAACTATTTCCATTTGAAGACCAGAATTCGATACAAAACTAGCAGTTTTTTCAATCACAGCATTTAATTTAATTGATTCAGGCTAAAAGAAAAAAAAAAGAAGATTTTATGAAAAAGAAAATCATTTTTATCACAATGAACATACAATTTCCATCCCATAAGGTATTTGTAATTTTTCTGATGGATAAAATGGTTCATATTCATCATCGTCTAGTGATTGTGGAGTTTCTAAAATTAAAAATAAATTTGTTTGATCTCGAATATATTTATAGATTTAATTGAGACAAAAATATAATTAATAAAAACAAAAAAATTTGTTTTTAAAAGAATTTTTAACAAAAAATTATTGTTCTTACTACTTAACACGAACGGTTTTTTTTATTAAATTCATTTTGATTTACAAATCAAATAGTTAGTCAATGTTTATTAAATGTGTCAAAGTCATAAAGCTAGACATTGTTCCTGACAAAAAAAAACATATATTTCTAGTTATTATTAACTTAATTTTCATTTATTTTTATCGTCAACAGTGTCAGAATGTTTATTCGGAAAGCGAAGGCGATTGTTTTTTTCCTTTTCATATATCAACAACTACAATATGCATTTTATTATATATGTCATCTTAAATTACATTACAAACATGTCAAAACTGATCTTATGTAATTATATTAGACTTAGTAGAAGTAAAACCTTATATAAATTCATTTATGTATTAATATATACTCAAAACTCAACCTACATAGAACAGAATGTAAGTATAACTTATCTAGATTGGTTTTGATTATTATTTATTTATCTCGATGCATACTATCAAAAACTTATTAGTGTATTTAGTCTTTTGTGTACTTCAAGATTGAACAAAATTATAAGATGATCTCCTTCGAATAAATGTGTAGAAGATAGAAATAGAATGAGATAGAGGATGATAGAAATCTATGTTTATTATCTTCAGAATTAAGATATAAATCATAGAAGAGTAAAAGAAATAGAATCACTCTTTTTAGTTTCGATTCCAAAAAGTATATATCAAAATATTAGTTATTTTATCTTAGAATAAAAAAATCATTTTTTTTACTAGTTTCATTTTAAACAATTACCTTTTGTTGTTCGTAGAATTATCTAATATTGAAACTATTCATCAAGTCATACCCAATAAACAATAAATTGAGGTCGATAAAGAAAGTCATTTTCGGCTGAATGATAACAGTCTCTTTCTTAACAGATTTTTATTATTCTTTTTATAACATTTCGATTCTAAGGATACTTTCTTCAAACAATGAATTGATAAAGGAGCATATGTATTTATTTTCTGTTAAATACTTGTTTTTATGTTTAATGGATCGCTTCGCTCATATTCCCATCCTCTTTGTGTCACTAGCAAAGAATAGGGAAATTCTAATCAAGAAAGAAAACAAGTATTCAACAAAATGTTGGTATATGCATTCATTATTTATTTCATTGTTCGAAGAAAACATCTTCGTTATTGAAAGGTTACTTAAGAATAATCAAAAGAAAATGTTTTCTTGAAGAATCCAATATTTGTTATTTTTCAAATTGTATATGAATCAAGATTTGATTCCTACTAAATGTAAACACTGCATCTTTGTTCTTTTATATCTCATGACTTTTTATCTCAACATAAAACTTATCGAATAGATTAAATTTCAGTTTCATTTTTCACTGTAGTCAATATGAAGGAGATTAAAATATAATCTCGATCATTTTTAGTCCTATCCTTATATCCATGATATATATTTCATTTTATACTAAAGTAAACAATTTTGTAAACATGAAATTTACCTTCTAATGTTTTACTTGAAGATTCTTTTGAATTATTTAAACCATCATAAGTATATCCAACTTGATTATAAGTATTTTGATCTGCATTAATTCGTTTTAATGTTTCTTCTAAACATAAAACAATTATAAAATTCAAAATAAAATTTATTCAAGGTTTTTATTACCTTGTTGTAAAGCTTCTTTTTCCATATCTCTGTATAATTCCAAATATCTTTCTTGATCACATTCTTCTTCAATATGTTTTTCTTCTTCATTTAAAAAATTATCTTCATTATTTATTTGTTTATTTCGTAGTAAATCACTATCCCATAATGTTAAATCAGATAAATGACCACGACAATCATACCTAAAAAATTCAAAATATAATAGAAATTTATAATAATAAAAATTAATAAAATCAATTTTTTCTTTCTTCTTTTTTTAATAGAGAAAAAACGATTGTTGTTTTTTTTTTTTAAATGCTTTTCTTTTTTATTTATTAAATCATGCTCTTATTTATTTCTAAGAAAGACTGTCGAGATGAATTGTCTGTGCTACTGCAATAAAAAAGAGAATTCAAAAGAATATATGAATAACATTTAGAAAAAAGAAAAAATTCTTTTTTTTACTTATACAATGATATATATATAAATATAAATATAAAAGAGATAAGATAAACTTACCAAATCGTAGAATAGCAGCTTCTCACCTGATTAGAGCCATTTATGATTATTTTTTTTTCCTAAAATCGTAAATAAACACTACCAACACTTACGTATTTCTATTATCTCATTGAAAAACAAAATAGAAGAATCAGTAGATGTCTCTTATAAAATTTTCGTTGTTTATCATTATATGATTTATCGAAGTAAAAACAAAAAAACAAAAGAAACAGAAAAGTCTTTTTTGCACACCTGTCAATCATAACGTTTTCATCGCCATTCCATGGTATAAGACTTTGACCACGATCAATAGCTTTAGCAAAAAAATCATCACGAAATAATTTACATGAATAACCAAAAACAATTAATTCTTCTTCTTTAGGTTCACTATGACCATTATTATATTCTTGTTCATGTATTTGTTCATTATCCAATTCAGGAAATAAATTTATATTCGACATTATTATTTCAATAAAGAATAAATAATAAGATGAATAGAATATATACAATTCACGTCACCTAACAATTTTACATTGGTAAAATATATTAACCAATGAAAAATTTCCATACAAAGAGGCTCTTTGATGTTTATTGAAATTGATTTATGGCGTTGTGTGACCATGTACGAGATCCTTTCTGTTGTTGTTTTTTTTCTTCTTTGTTTTAAAGGTAATAATAGTTTTATTCAAACAACAGTTGACATTTTTTTTTTATATCTTATTTAATGTGTGAACATTTTAGATAAAATATCTGTTATAACGACCTGTTAAAGATGAAGAATGACTAATATGGTAAAGACCACTATTGAAGTAAAAGTCTGGTCATAAATATTGCTAGTGGCAGAAGTAGAATAAACTTGCAGGAAAAAGGGCTTAGCTCTCGCCCGAAACCGGAAAAGATGTATAATCTCATCCTATAATATAGAAATGTCTCATTTCTCGAGGAGATTGAACGGTTCTCTGATTCCGCCACTAAATATAGCGATTAAAATAATTGTAAAGATGAAGTAAAATAAATCTTAATAATACGACTATTGACATCAGATACTAAGAAACTTTTAAAAAGTAGAAAATAAACGACGTATTTCGATTGAAAATCGAATTCGATCTGGCATAGACATTATAATCATAACTTCAATGATGTTTATTTTCATCGAATAAAATCACAAATAGTTTGTTGTTATTAAATTGTTTTCTATTTTCAGATAATTTATGATGGCATCAATTGATGAAGGAATATCGTCATCCTCGTCAGTTCCCAATCCAACAAATGCACTTGTTTTACCAAATATTTTGTATCCTGTAATTGATCAAATGGATAAATCAGGTTATAAAGATATACAATCCGAAATACGTACAACATTATTTAAATTAGAAGAAATTTATCCAGGTTTTTCTCGTAGTTTTGTTCAATCATTTATAAATAAAGAAATACCATCATTATCAACAACAACAAATATGAATGAATTAACACTTAAACTTGAAAAATATTGTGATAAAACACCTTATTTTATATCACCAGTACATAATGAACAAGTCTTTCATGAATTAAATTTTCGTACAAAAAATCTTAAACGTATATTAAGTCGTATACCGGATGATATTAATGAAAAACGTGAATTTCTTGAAACAATTAAAGAAATTGCAAGTGCAATTAAAAAAACACTTGATAGTGTTACAAATACTTTACAATATTTTAAAACAAATGATGGACGACAAGCATTAGAAAATGAAAAAAAAGAATTTATTAAATATAGTAAAAATTTTAGTAATACATTAAAAGCTTATTTTCGAGATAGTAAACGTGATGATGTTTATATAGCAGCAAATCATTTACTTATTCAAATTGATTATCTTTTACGTACAATTAAACTTTATTGTGAAACTGATACATTAGATGAATGTTTATATCCATTGTTGTCTCAACATCAAAATCAAATTAAAATGATATCATCATCACGTCATTCATCGAATAATCAACAACAATATAATATAAGACAATCGTCTACTTCATCAAATACTCGACAATCTTCAACATATGAAACAAATTATTCATAAGAAGGAGAAAAAGGAAACGAGTAAAAAGTTTTTTTTTTTTTTTTAAATACAACAATAATTAAAACATTTTATGTACAGTATAATTTTATTTATTATCTATGTATGAAAACAAATATGTGGGTAAAGAAAAACATACTAAAAAATTTTGCTTCCGTTCAATTGTACAGTAGATTTTATTGTTTTTCTTGTTTTTTTTTTTTTTTAAATACGAAATGATACTTATCTGTTTGCTTATTTTTTTTTGTGTCCTTTTCTGATAGAATATTAAGAGAAGAAAAGTCGGATTTTTTTTAGAGCCAATAGCTCATTATTTTTTGCTTCTATAGAAATACTTCTAAAGACACACTATAAATGGATCAAATCTCTGCATCCTTCCCTTTTTACCTCAATCAATAGCGAGACATAAAAAAACGACAAACTAGGGTGTTCGACCGTAATTATTTTTGTTTTTTTTAATATTTGACGTTAGGTATCGTAAGATGGCAATTAGAAAGCAAAAACTACTTCAATAGAGGTAGTATTGACTAGTAATTAATCATTAATATGTGTGTGAGAGAGAGAGAGAGAGTTGTATGTACGTTTAATTCTAGCCGAAAAGAACAGAAAAGGAAAAAAAGAAACAGAGAAAACACGAAAATGTTTTATATGCATCGAAGTATGATTGTGTAGGCATATGCAGCAGCTCGGCGTTAATAGTTAACTTAAGTTGATGTGTAGTAAGAAATAAAAAAGAAATAGAATGACGAACAACGGAAAGAAAAAGTCCGCCCTCGCGTCTTCTTCTTTATTGGCAAATAATTCAACAAGAATTGATAGTTTCTACATTCGCTCTTCTTTTTTTTGCTTTTCTTTCTGTTTCCATTGATTTCAATAGCATTTTCCTATGATTACACGACCAAAACAAGAAAATAAGATTGAGTGTTTTATTTTTCATTTTTAAAAGAGTATACGCAGATTGCTTATTCACGTATGTAAAGATGACGTCACATAGAAAGAGTCAGATTTGCTTTTTTCTTTTTTTGTCTTTACTGTTGTGTCATTTTCTATTAAGGCTTATTTAAAAAGCGTCATACTATTATCTCTATCAGAGATATACATTAACTTTGTTTGCTATATCATCAGCAGTTTTTCTTTGTTTTTTTTCTTGGTTGTTTGTTTAAGATTGAAATACGAACAACGACAGATTTTTTTTAAGAAAAAAGATTTCTTTGATCAATAAGTAAACGAAATAAATAAAAAATGCCATCTGCAAATGTCGATACACGTACTTTTAAACAACGGAAAAGTTTTGGTAAGTTATTTACTTTTATTATAGAAAAAAAGATTTTTTTCGTATTTCTAAAGCAACACGAAAAGAAGAAGTTGCTGGTATTCGAAGTAAATTTCCAAACAGTAAGAATCTTTTTTTTTTTTTTTCTAGTTCTATATTTATTGAATAAGAATAATTTTCACTATTTCAGAAATTCCAGTTATTGTTGAACGATATCATAAAGAGAAAGATCTACCTGTTCTTGGTAAAATAGATTCATATTTATTAGTTTTCTTTTATAGAATTTATTATATATTTATAGATAAAACAAAATTTTTGGTACCTCAAGAATTGACAATGTCACAATTTGTGACAATTATTCGGTAGGTTGAAATAAAACATTTCGTTTTTTATTATTTATTTCTAATAGAAATCGTATGCAATTAAATGCCAATCAAGCATTTTATTTATTGGTTAATAATAAAAGTATTGCTTCAATGTCTACTTCCATGGCTGAAATCTATCGTGATGACAAAGTAAGAATAAGAAGAAAAAAGATAATCTAATTAACAATTTTCCTTTTTTTTTTCTATTATCGAGGATGATGATGGTTTTCTTTATATGACTTATGCTAGTCAAGAAATGTTTGGTGGTCTTGAATAATAAGTGAAATGATTTATTCTATAAATATATTTATATATATATATATAAATACTTCGTTTAATTTAATGTTTTTCTTTTCGCTGTTGTTCGTCTTCGGTATATATTTTTTTTTTCTTCTTTGTGAAACATATCTTCTTTTTTGCTCATCACATTGTTATTGAAAATACGACGATATTTTATTTCTTCGTGAGCCGGTAAGACAATGAATTTCTCGCCTGTGTTCATGTATTTTTAATCATATTGTAAATGTGCAATTGAAAGACAGTTGTTTTTTTCTGCTCTTTAACTAATATTATCAATGAATCATTACATCCAGTCTTTATTTTTCTGCTACATGTATGATTGTGTAATAGATTACACTACTTTCTCTGTCGGTCTTTGTCTTCTTGAATGCATTATTATTGTGGAATTTTTATTTTTTTCTTCTTCTTCCTTTATTTGTACGTGTGTTGTAGTTGTTTTTTCTTTTTTGATTGATATGTATTGATCACAAACAGTTTTATTTTGTATAATATTCCAGAAAAAAAAAACTGCACACACATGCATTTTGTTTTGTTTTATTTATCTTAGCCAACTTTTTTGGGAAGATATTTTGTTAGTTTTTTTTTTTAATTTCGATTTTATAGGTATTCGTGTTTTAGGATTTTTTTCAGTAAGAGATGGTGACGATGAACAGTAAGGTTTTTCGGGCGTTGTTTTTAAATAGAAATTATTATTTCCACGTCGATAAATAACATCACTTTTATCAGCATGAAAACCCATACGTGGATAAGTTGAATTATTATCAATTGGATCTTGACATTTTTTTGATATATAATCCAACCATGTTGAGCAGAGTTTTGCTCGAAAATCACATTGATTAATTGATGATATAAAATAATGTGGTGATCGAAGATGATTACAACCGATATAAGTATGAACATTAAGAAAAACTTTTTTTAATGAACGTAATTTTCCAATTCGATCACGTATTTTTCCAATAAAACCTTTCTCTGGTAGATCTCTACTAGTATCACTTTCTTGGTTTTGATTTCGATTAAAAAGAAATCGTTTAATACGATAAATTTTCTCAATATAATCTTTATCTTTAATTTCAATAAATTTTTCACATCCTTTTGCAGTACTTTTTCCGCCATCAGGAAAAAAATCCGTATGTCCACTTTTTTCTTGTAAACCAAATGTTGCTGATGTATGAATACAATCAACAAAATCAGCATCATCAAGAGATAAACGTTTATCAACTGATGCTTTACGTAAAAGTGGACCAGATGGATCGAGACCAGTTATACGTGCAAATTTAGTTTTTTTATTTGATATTACAAAGTAATTATTAGAAGCAAATCCACAAAGATGAGCACCAAGACTAAAAAATAAATTATCAAACGAAGAATATAAATTTCAAATGAAGAAAAAAAAAAAATAAAGATTTTTTCTTACCTAAATCCAATACAATGTAAACGTTTAGGATCAATATAATTATTTTGTATAAATTCTGCTAAATGTTGTCCGGCTATGTCAGCATTGGCAACTGCTGTAATAAAATTAATTTCTCGTGCACCTTTTTCCCAATCAATAGCAATAACACAAAAATTTTCTTTTGCTTTATTATTTAATATTTCATTTTTCATATCTTTAACCCAATCCCATCGCCAATCCATATTCCATCGTTCAGCATAACCATGAGCAATTAATTTAATTGGACAATTTTGAAAAGATTTTTCTTTTAACCATTTCTTTTTATCTGTCCATAGTATTGATATCGGTTTATCGATATTTTGCTTTGAAAATACATGAAAATATGTATCATATTCAGTTGTTCCATCGAGTTTTTGTATAAGAACGAAGATTTTTACCACATATACAAGTAGTAAAAATGGTCGCACCATTGAATCTTTTTTTTTTGATTCTGTACGAATATCTATCTATCTATATATTTATATATGTCGATGGTAATCTAATTATGCAGATATGGTTTTTTTTATGATAGTGGAAGCGTATAAGTTTTTTTCTAATAATGTTTGTTCTGTTCTTTTATAAGAATAGAAAAAAAAATGATTGGATAGAAAATAAAAGAGAAAGACTAAAATTTTTGTGAATCCAAAGATTTTATAAAAATAATTTACTTGTAAATATATTTGGTGATGTCCCCAATGGAGATCGGGAGACTACTACCCTCCCTAAACTTCAGAAATTTTTACTTTTCTCAAGCAAAGTTCCAGCGTTTTATTCATTTTTGTTTGCTCACCAATTCTTAAAAATGTCGCTCGACCTCGGCACCTCCAACTTCGGTCAACTTTAGCGGAACTCCTTCAGTCAGTCTTGTGAGTAATTGATCCCCACCTTTCAATTCTGGCGAAGTACGGACATTTTTGTATGTAGCTTAGTTATCAGGTCATACTTCTATTTATATTACTTAAAATAATAAAGATTGATACGAAATTTTTCTCTTTTTTTTCTATTGTAGAGTTTTGGTAATACCGAAGCACGAAATACTATTTTCATTATCGTACAATCAAAAGATCGTCAACCGTGTGATTTTAGATTCAATATAAAAAAAAACAGCTGACCACAAAATGTCACTTTTTCGTTTTCTTTCGAATAAAGTGGGTACTGGTTCCGGTTCAGTTGCTGGTGCTCATACTGTAGCTACATCATCACACGGAGCTGTTTCTGGCGGTCATGGTCATGATTCGCATGCTGCTCCATGGGAAGGTGTTAATCTTTGGCGTACACCATTCAAAGGTGATACTGATACAGTTACACAAGTAAAACGTACTAAAGGTGTACTTGATCGATATGTTGAAAATCGTGTTCGTCGTATTCAACAACTACAAATCGAAGCTTTAGTAAATAATATTTTTATATTAGAAGAAAAAAAAACAAAGAATAATTTTCATCAATAATTATCATTATTTATTTAGCGTAACAAAGCTGTACCAACTTGGGTTATGATGCCAAAAGATAAATTTCTTCTTGCAGCTCAAGGTATTATACTTGTCTATGTTGCTTATCAAGCTATTTCAACTACATACAATCATTTGAAAGCTAAAGATCGTCTTAAACGTAAGTTAATATTCATTTCTGTTGATATTGGTTAGATCTTTCTTGGTTTTTTTTTTTTTTTTCTAGTCGTCAAATTACTTTACAAAGACAATGTTGATTAATGAAATACATTGTAAATCCATTCGTCCAAACTAAATTAGAGAACATTTGTTCCTTTTCCTTAAGTCCTTCATGTTTCCTGTATAACAACTTAAACTAGTAGATTTTCATTCTTTTTGAAATAAACAACATAGTCTAAAATAATTTTTGATTGTTCAAATATTTCCTTTTTATTTTTCTTGATATATTCAGATGAATCCACCGAATAAATCATCTACTATTGATGGTTGGAATGACCCACCAGCTAATCTTACTGTATCCGATAATATGTCAACAAAACGTATTTTACTTAATAAACGTGTTCCTTATACAAATCAAGATTTAACAACAACAAACAATCGTATGAACTAGAATCATTACATTACGTTTTTCAAATATATTTCTTTGTTTTTATTTTAGCTTCGAATATTTTAACAGCACCACCAATTTGTTTTCCATCAACAATATCTACACCTAATTCATTAGATAATGACACTTCAGTAAAGAATGATCTATTAACTGTTGAAGAAATGAATGAAATATTCAAAAAACAACTTAAAAAATTAGAAGATTCATCAAATATTGAAGTATAATGTTCTTAGAAAATAGAAGAGATTTGTTTTTTTCAAGAAAATATTTTCGTTTAGAAAAAAATTCTTGAAGATATTAATAAGAAATTTCAAGTCATGCAGGATGAATGGTCTCAAGAAAAATTATCATTAAATACAAAACAAACATTATCAAATATATTTCGTGAACTTGATTCTGATCATATACAACAAGCATTTGATTTGCATATTGCATTAGTTCGAAATGCAAGTTCCGAAGTAAGATTTTTATTTATAAAATTCTATTGAAGAGACAGATTTTGTTTTTCCTCTTTCAGGTTGTTCGTTTTATTGTTGGTATTAAACGGTTAATACAAGAATTACAAAGATTATCTAATTAAATTTATTTTATTCTTTTTTTGTTATTTATTCTCTTGTTTTTCTAAAGGAAAAAACGTTGGTTTTAATCCAGGTGCATTTTTCAGATAAATTTTTTTTTTATTCATTAAAAATGTCGAAAAAATCAACGACTAAAAAAACAACAGTACCAGCAATGTTTGCCAAAAATCCTTCTTCTACAACAACAACAACTGAAAAAGAAACAGATAAAGAAAATAAATCGAAAAATAATCGACTTATTCCATGGGTTGAAAAATAGTAATATATTTCATTTTTGTTGATTTACAAGTATCATATTTTTTCCTATAATTAGTCGACCAAAAAAAGTTAGTGATGTTGCTTATCAAGATGAAGTTGTTGCGGTACTGACAAAATGTCTAGCTGGTAGTGATGTAAGTCATATAGATGAAAGAACAGACTTTTTATTTTTGACAAATGAATTTTATTTAGTTTCCTAATTTGTTATTTTATGGACCACCAGGTACTGGAAAAACGAGTACTATTCTAGCTGCTGCTCATGAACTTTTTGGGTAAATAATTTTGATTTGTTTTGATAAATGAAAACGATTTAGTAAACTTTTGTTTTTTCGTTCATCATATTAGACCTCAATTATTTCGTGATCGAGTTATGGAATTGAATTCATCTGATGAACGTGGTATTAATGTTATACGTGAAAAAGTTAAAAAATTTGCACAATTTTCAGTTATTACAACACGTTCTGAGTAAGAAAAAATTGCATAAATTTAGAAAAAAAAAAACTTATTTGTAATAATTCAAAAAATTCTAGTGGTATGTATTGTCCACCATTTAAATTGATTATTCTTGATGAATGTGATTCAATGACAAAAGCAGCTCAAGTAAAAAAAAAAATTATTTTTTATTGTTATAATTATTATTAGTAATTTTTCTTAGGCAGCTCTTCGTCGAACAATGGAACGTGAATCTAAAACAACAAGATTTTGTTTAATTTGTAATTATATTAGTCGGTAAATAGACTTTTAGATTTTTTTTTTAATGATAAATCAATATTTCTTTTAAAGAATAATCGATCCAATAACAAGTCGTTGTGCAAAATTTCGTTTTAAACCATTAAAAGATAGTATTATTGAGGAACGTTTACGAACTATTTGTAATACTGAAAATGTTCAATATGAACCAGAGGTTTTTATTTTTAAAATTTAAAATATTTATATTTTATTTTCTCTATTAGGCAATAACTGAATTAGTAAAATGTACTGAAGGTGATATGCGTAAAGCAGTAACATTTTTACAAAGTGTTGCTCGTTTTCGTACAAATCTGACAATAACAGTAGCTGATGTACATGAAATAACTGGTGTATGCAATTAAACATAATAAAAAATAAACGATAGAAGAATTATTTTTATATATATAGATTATTCCGGAGAGTGTTATTGAAAATCTTTATCAAGTATGTCATTCTGGTTCGTATGAAAAATTAGCAACAACTGTTAAGGTAAAAATAATTCTTTGAAGTTTTATTTTGAAAATATCGTTTGTTTTTCTTATTAGAATGCATTATTAGAAGGTTACGCAGCTCATCAATTATTATTACAATTACATGACTATATTTTGGGACAAATGGCCTTAGGTAATGAACAAAAAGGAATTATTTTTGAAAAAGCAGCCGTAAGATAACATGAATGAAACAAGATTATTTTTATGAAATCTTTCTTTTTTGTCTCTATTAGATTGTTGATGGATGTTTACTCGATGGAGCTGATGAATATTTACAAATGATGGATTTTCTTTGTACGGTGATGCATCAATTATGTCGATCATAAATGAAATAAAGATTAGATTTTTTTTCATGTCAGATATAGATTAAAAGACATTTATTTTTTCTTCAGAGATTGTATAGATATTTTTTTTTCTCTTCTTAAATAAATGATTGAAGATGATATCAGATATAATTAAAAATTAATGGTTGTTAAAGTTTTCAATGTTTTGTAAAATAATCATATCATGTTTGGATTTCGAAAATTTCTATTCATCGCTATTTATTCTTTCTTTGTATGTTTGTCATCATGTTCTTCTCGTCGCTGATATATAAGAAAGTTCTTTATTCAATCTAACTGTATACATTATCAATCATCTCTTATATGTAAGAGAAGATAATGTGTCTGTGGTCATTAGCTAAATCTATTTCTATTGGCAAGATATTTGCATCAGCTGTTCGATCTTTGATACCAACGTCAATTATCGGTCTCTTTTTCTGCTGAAAGGAAAATAGATATATGTGGTTAGTTATCCAACCTTATGTACGTGCTGCCAACATGGATTATTTATTATCCATAAAGCACAAGAAAGTCACACGAAACAGAAACAGAAAGATATAATAATGAGAATACTTGATGCTTTTTTTCTCATATATTTCTTTAATACAAACCGTTATACTATAACCTAAGCTGTAGTTTTAGCTCGTAATTACTTTTTGTTGCATCTTGTTTATTAAGTTTGTTTGTTTTTGCTTGAAGAGAACAAGCAAGATGCGTTCGAAATGTTTTTATTTGATTATCTGTGTAAGTATTATTATCAATGTTAAATCTCAGTTATCCTCAGATGACTATGGTGATTATGATGCACAACAACAACAAATACAAACAGGTAATTAATAGTTGTTCGATCTTCATTTGTGTATAGTGTATAGTGTATAATGATTTTAGAACCACTTGTTTTCTTTCGTCGACCACAATCGGAGCAAGTTGCTATTGGTAGTAATGCAATGTTTTATTGTAGTTCATCATCAAGTCCAATAATATGGTTTAAAGTATATTATTATATCTTCATATTAAAAAGTAATAATAGAAATTGTTTGGTTTTTTTTTAGAATGATGTACCGATAGGTGCAGGTTCAAAACATATAATAACTAGTCAATATCTTCAAATTTTGAATGTTGATGAAAATGATGAAGCAACATATGCTTGTTCAATACGTAATGCAGTTGAAATGAAAACAGCATCAGCAAATTTAACCATACTTTGTAAGATAAAAGATAAATTTTTTCTAATTATATCTTTTAATCTATGATAAAGTTGCTCCTCGTTTCACTCCATTACCGGATACATATCGTGTTGGCTTGAAAAATTTATCTATTGAATTATATTGTCGAGTTCGTGGAAATCCTAAACCAACAATCACATGGCATAAATCTCGTATGTATTTAAACATATTTATACAAACTTATAATCTATTATGAAATTAGATATAACCCTTCGATCGTCACATCGTATGCGTTTACTTGATGATGGTCAAATTTTACGTATTAATCAATTACGAAGTGATGATGCAGGTGTTTACACTTGTTTTGCAGAAAATTCTCTTCGACGTATTTCAGCATCAACTGATGTTCGTGTTGAGGATCCTAGTAAATATTTTTTGCTTTTTTTTTTATTAAGTTTCTTTTTTAATTTTATTCTATATAGTACCACCATTGTTTTCTCGACGTATGTCAAATTTAACAACATATGATGGTGCATCAGTTGAACTTGAATGTACAGCAACTGGAGATCCACAACCAAAAATTGAATGGTTTCGAGATAGTTTTCCTATTCATTATAGTGTTCAATATATATTAAAAGAAGATGGATCACTTTTACTTCCACGTGTTGCTACTAATCAATCAGGATATTATACGTGTAAAGCATCGAATTATGCTGGAGCAGAAGTTCATTCATTTTGGGTAACTGTTATTAGTAAGTTTGAAACATAATTTTTGATTTTAAAATTAAAAATGATACATATTACGTTTATTTAGATGATAATCAAATAACGGATGAACTTATTGATCGTCTTGTACAACAAGCATCAATAGAAGTTAATCGCGCTGTTGCAGAAACAATACGACATTTACAAGATCGTCGTCGACCACGAACACCAGGAGATTTAATGTCATTAATGAAATTTCCTAAACCATTACAATTAACATTAGCTAAAACAGAAGATATTTTTGAACGAGCACTTGATCTTGTTCATCGTTATGTTGATAATATTACATTTGCAAATGAATATTCAACAAATGAAAGACGACCTAGTGGTAATTAATATCGAAGAATAAAAATAAAAGTTATTTGAAATAGAACATTTCCTATTTAGATTTTCGACCTGATCATTATCTTACAGCTCGTCAATTAGAACGTCTTGCACTTGTCTCTGGTTGTGTAGTTCATCAATTAAAAACTCACTGTAATGAAAAATGTATGGCATATCGTACAGCAGATGGAACATGCAATAATTTAAGACATCCATTTTGGGGTGCTTCGTTAACAGCCTTAACACGTTGGCAACATGCACAATATGAAAATGGTTTTAATACACCACGTGGTTGGAATGAAACCAAATTATATAATGGTTATGTATTACCATCAGCACGTGAAGTATCAGCAAGATTAATAGCAACTAAAACTATTACACCTGATCCAGCTTTTTCTCATATGCTTATGCAATGGGGTCAATTTCAAGGTACAAAAAAAAATCTATATTTGAAAATATTTATATTTTTTATTACTAATTTAAATGTATAAATATTAGATCATGATATGTCATTAACAGTACAAGCAACAAGTAATACACGTTTTTCTGATAGTCTTCGTTGTATATCATCATGTTCATTTGAACCTCCATGTTATCCTATACGTGTTCCTGATGATGATCATTTGCGTCAAGAACGTGGTTCATGTCTTGAATTTGTACGATCAGCTGCTATATGTTTAAGTGGTGAAACATCATTTCTTCATTTACCATATCGACGTGAACAAATTAATTCCTTAACATCATTTTTTGATGCATCAAATGTTTATGGTTCAACGGTACAAGATGCTTGGGATTTAAGAGAACGTAGTTCAGGAAAAGGTTTTCTTAGAGTTCATAGGTAAATTGAATTAACAAAGAAAATTATTTAATATATATATATATATATATATTGTTTATTCTTTCTCTAAAGTACACCACAATATCCAAAAGGATTACTTCCATTCAGTACTGATACACCTGTTGATTGTCAACGTGATCGACAAGCATCACAAATTGGTTGTTTTCTTGCAGGAGGTATTTAAAATAAAAATTTCTTTTATTTATATGTTTATTTTTCATTAAAAAAAAGATCATCGAGTAAATGAACAAGTTGCTTTAATTGCAATGCATACACTTTGGGTACGACAACATAATCGTTTAGCTAAACAACTTAGTTCAATGAATCCAAATTGGTCGGATGAACAAGTTTATCAAGAAACACGAAAAATTATTGAAGCACAATTACAAATTATAACATATAAACATTGGTTACCATATATTATCGGTGATGAAGGTATGAATATGCTTGAATCATATAAAGGATATAGTCGAAATGTTAATCCAACGATTTCAAATGTTTTTGCTACTGCTGCATTTCGGTAAATAAAATAAAATTTAATGAAATAATTTTGTTTTTTTTTTTCTTTGTTTTTTAAAGTTTTGGTCATGGTTTAATTAATCCAATATTTTATCGTTTAAATGCAAGTCTTGAACCAATTCCTGAAGGAAACCTTCTTCTTCGTGATGCATTCTTTTCTCCATGGCGTGTTAAAGAACAAGGTGGTATTGATCCATTATTACGTGGAATGTTTGGTGTACCAGCTAAAATAAAATTACCTCAACAAATTCTTAATGTTGAATTAACTGAACGTTTATTTCATGTAACACGTGCTATATCACTTGATTTAGCTGCAGCAAATATTCAACGTAGTCGTGATCATGGTTTACAATCATATAGAGCATGGCGAAAATTTTGTAATTTAACACCAAATGATATTAATGATTTTGAGGATTTACGTAATGATATAAGTGATCAAGAAACACGTCGTACATTACGTGATGTTTACAAACATGTTGATAATATTGATGTTTGGGTTGGTGGAATACTTGAAGATAATTTACCTGGTGCAAAAGTTGGACCACTTTTTCGTTGTTTAATTACTAAACAATTTAAAGCACTTAGAGATGGAGATAGGTAAATGATTTGTTTGATGATTGGAACTGAAAAAAAAATGAATTTTATATTGTAGATATTGGCATGAAAAATCTGGTATATTTACACCTCAACAAATGAGTTCATTACAAAAAACTTCATTAGCTAAAGTACTTTGCGAAAATGGAGACCGTATTGAGCAAATACCACGAAATGTGTTTTTGAATGCAATGTATCCACGAGATTATGTACCATGTTCACATATAGAAGATGTTGATCTTGAACCATGGCGTGGATGTTGTAATCAAAACATGGCTGGATCTAATGCAGGTAAGACAATCTGATTCGACCCGTTTTTTTTAAACTTTTTTCAAAAAATCAAGTAAATATTCTTTTCTCTTAGTTTGTAATGTTCCGGCTATACTTTCATATGATCCATTTCCTAATTATGAACCATCTAGATTTGCTACTAATGCACGACAAAAAAGAGAAATTGTAGAACAAAATGCACAAGAAAAAATAGAAGATGAAACAATAACAAAAGATGATCAATTAGAATTAGAAAAACTTCGTCAACAAGTTGATGAAGTTTTGAAAAAGGTTAGAATAATCAATCTCGTTCGTTCATTGAAATAAGTGATTTCTTCTTTTATTTCTCTTTTTGTTTAGTTTGCAACTTTTGATAAACGTTTAACGACTGGTACACATTGTTATGATCAAAATACAAGAAAATTACATAAAAATGGCACTAAATGGCATGTTCATAAATGTCTTGTTTGTCAATGCAAAGTATAATTAATAAATATACATATGTATTTCGAGTAAAAAATTATTTTCTTTTGTTTTTAGGATGCAACAAGTTTATGTGAAATTATCTGTTAAGCGTAGTTATTTTCTTTATATTAACAAAATAATTCAACTTTTAATTGAGAATATATCTGATCAATATTAACAACAAAAGAAATAGAAAGAAATATATTAGTTTAGTTTATTTTTAGTCACATAAACAATACATCAGACATACGTTAATATAGAGAGTGAGCAAACTAGAAATAATAATAGAGAAAAAGTTAATCTAGTTTTAAAATTTGTATTTTATCAAGTAAAGTTTGTTTGTTTGTTTTTTTTACTGTTAATATTTAGCATTTAATTAAAGACAATTTTTTAACTGCCAACAAATTTTTTTTTTAAAGTTAAAGATATAGTTCGGAAATGTTTACGAAATATTTGCTGAATGTTTATCAACGACAATATATCATTAAAAAGTAAATCGATTTGATAAAGCGAAATATAACATATGATGCAAAGTAATGCAACAAATATTGGATCCTATTGCTCTTTGATAGACAGGTGCTGAAAGAAAACTCTAATGAACCAAAAGATAGACAATTTTTTTTGCTTTCAAATCATATACAACTTATTTTTACCAGACGTTCATAATTGAAGTGTCGCCATAGAAAAAAAAAAGCACCATCAAATGGATCGACACTTTTCATATAGCGTAGAATAATGATATGAAATGTCAAATTGTGTATCTTTTTTTTAGTAAATACGTATTGGTACAATAATTTGTGTGATCAGCTGATCATTTTTTTTTGTCTTTTTCAAATTGTATGTAACTTAATTTTGTTCTATGTTCAGAAGCAAAGTGATACGAGAATACAGAGAAACACTCCTACAATGAATTTGTAATTTTTATATTGATTCATCAAATAAAACGACAGTTAGTTATTTCATAAAGCAAGGCATTTCAAGAACAACGATTTATAACTTATGTATTTCAGCCGTTTTACATAATTTATATGATGAACCAAGATAGAAACTTCAAACTCGTTGTGCCAATGTTTCTTGTTTTTGCATTATATATAAGAATAAATCTATCTGAATTAACGTTGAAGCAAATATCGAGATTAACTTGAAATTTGTGTGATATTAGTCTAACATTAAAAATCATTCATTAGGAGTAAGAGTTTTCAAAATAAATTAAAATAAAAATCAAATTAGACTTTTGAAGGAAAAAAGTACCTTTTTTTTATCTAAAATAGCAAAACAAAGTTATTGACTTTAATAATGATCACAAAAAAAGAAGTATTTCAGACGCAATATATTATTCAAAAATCATAATAATACAATTTATTATTCATTTATATCTTTCGACATAATTATCATTCGGCCTTTGTCATTTTACTTCACGCTAAATATAAAAGTGCTCAAGTCTATCTATATTTTTCTTAAGCATGTTCCATGTTTTCCAGTCATTATATAGATGATATTATATAATTCATCTTTTCTTTCATGCTTTTTTGGTGATTCTCTTATTATTGTTGTTGTTGTCATGCATGTACTCCGTTAAATGATTATCTTTATCCAGCCGATTTTATATTCCATTCATCATTCAAATCAATCATTCATCATGATGAAACTTAGTATCTCAAGAGTATTGAATGTATTTTAATGTCATTTTACTATTGTAGCTACCATGTTTTATTCATTAGAGATATGAAAGTGCTCAGGTCAATCAATACAATTATAAGGTCTGGTACAATTCTTGCAAGATCATATAGGAACATTCTTTGCGATCTTCCATAATTGCATAAGACCATATAAAAATTGTTTATGATCTTGTACGATGTTATATGCCTATCTTAAAGTCACTCGCCCAAGTTAAACAATCAGACGGTAAGATCATACAAGATCATATCTTTGATCTTGTAAGATCAGACGAAAATCCTACGAAAAATTGTTGTGTCTGCAAAACTTACATTAAGTCTTGATGTATGAGTCTTCGAAGGTCATATTATCTGTACAAGGTCAGAGGTCTTATTTGAAGATCTTACATTTGATTTTTTTTAATCTGGGATGGTAAAATACACATCTATGCAGCTTGTTGTTATTTGATGTTGAACAAATATGAAGAAACTGAACAATCAATATTGAAAGGTTGATTAAGAAAAAGATAAGTTCTTGTTTAAAATAACACACCAAAATTGTTACTAAAAACATCTAAAAATCTTCATTGTAAACATAAGTTTTATTTCATATTACATATAACCAAAATGACGAAGAAAAATTCAATACTTTTACATTATTGATTACAAAATATTTATGAAGATCAATGTGTCTTCTAGTAAGCATTGTATGCAAAGTCATTCTTATGATGTAAGTGCTATTTAGTTACAAAATCAATGTACATTTTTGTTTTTATCTTCTAGAAATTATTTAGCATTAAATTATTCTTGTATTACTTTGTTTTTAAAACCTAGATTATTATCATATATTACAAGAATTATTTGAAGTATATTTTAAAAACAATATTCAAAATCAGTAATAGATGTTACTATACAAGCATATAATCAATATAGATAATAGGATGAAACAATAGTTGATGTAAGAGCAACAGAAAAATTTTACTCGAATAAAAAAACATACAAACATTGTTCTATCTAGAATAATCTTAAGATATTTCTTTATAAAAATGAGCACATTTTTTAATTATGCTGAAGAAGTGTTTTTCCATTATTTGCTAACAATAATTCTTGACTTTTATTGTGAACTATAAGAATTTCTTTTGAGAAAAAAAAAGGTTATTCTTCAACATGGTGAGGATAAAATGTCAAGTATTAACACAATTGATTAATGTCATACCTGTAGTACTTTTTAATTTCTCTATTTATTGTCATGAAGAACGTACTTAGATAATTCTTTTCAATAATAAATCTCGAATTATGTTGTACTTGCATTACCTTGAACATTCATTTGATGTAATGAAAGATGTTGAACTCATAGAATTAATTGCATATATTTTCAAAGAGATCGTTAGTACTATTTATGAACAAGAACATAATTCAGTACACAAGATGTTTCATTATTGTGAAGGACGTTATTGATTCCTTGGTATTTTAGTATGAACATATGATAACGGTTCAATTCTGTTTTCAAACAATTGATATATTAGCTAATGAATATTACGAGTAAAACTCAATGATATATCATGAAATTTTTAATAGACCAATTAAAAATACCTTTTTTTCTTGTTCTTTGATAATAGTCTGACACGAATAATACAACATAACAAAATCTATTGAAGTGTGAAATTAATGTGAAACAATGAATAGAACAAAAAGAGAAAAGAAAACCGACATTTCTATTGATAATGTAAACACTCAAAGCAAACTTTGATAAAAATAAATTAGTTTTTTTTTTTATTATAAAACATGGTGCCATATTTCTATTGAAATTTTTTCTTCAGTCGGTACTACACATTGGTATATTAATTGAAAAAAAAGATCTCATGTCTGGAATTTTATATTAGTTAAAAAAAAGATAAGATGCAAACCGACAATGCTATTCATTTGGATTACTATTCAAGATATATTTACATGAAAGAATACCTATTTATCGTGACCTGAAATAAGAAGATCAAATCAGTTTATGTACTAAACTTATCTATTATATAAAGGACTTTTGATTCAATTACTTTCTATTACATATTAAATATATCTATCTACAAAAATAAACAATGATTTAGAATGCGATTTATACATTTAGATATTAATCTCGATCAACCAAGTATGGCAACTTTTTCTTATCACTCATTTTTATAGTCATCATGATACACGTCATTTTAATTATGCACAAGTAATAGAAGTTAAAGAAACAAGACGAAAAGTTGTTTTAAATTGTTTTTAAATTTTTATTTGAAACAAAAAAAAAAAACATTTCATTTTTTTTTATTCAAAATATTAAACAAATAAAAATGATTGAATTTATTTAACATAGTTATATTTATAATAATAAACTACGAGTTGCAGCAGAATTCGATCTTTAATTAGATCATTCAACGAAATAGTTTTTATTACTTGATTTAATTTCAAATAATTGTTATATAGTAAAAAAAAAGAAAAAGATTATTTTTTGAAAAAAAAAATTTCAAAATGTTATTTTAGAGAGGATGTTGTTTTTCTTTGTAAATGCTACTCGTGATTTTGATATTCTTGAACAAATGAAACTAAATTCGAAATATTGAGAAACTAAACAAGATGTTTGTGTTGGAACATTTCAATAGATACTTATTAATTATGAAGCTCTATTGCACCTTTACAAAGACAAGAAAGAACCTCATTATCTATTCTAAGAATAGATTACGTGATACTTTATCATTATTACAGCATACTAATTATTCACAAGGTACAAAAGGTAAAACTGGTCCAATTGAATGTTTTTGATATTTTTTTTCTTTATGTAGAAGATCAAATAATCAAAAGATAATGTGATTATAGGGTAATAAGAAGTTTAAAAAATATTGTTTAAAATCAAATCAAATATTATCTCTTTTGTATAATATTAATATTTCCAGAAGTGATAATCTGATTTTATGTTTGACAATTTCTTTCTTATTTTATTGTGCAGAACAGAGACATAAAAGGAAAATCAATGAACGAAGGTTCAAATATAAATATACGTATGGAAAAAAGAAAAAAAAAAAAAGAAGATATTTCAAACATAAGATAAAATTTATGAAACTAAACAATCAGGTGTTTCCGGTGAATGCTTATCACCGCCAGATGATGCTGATTTTTTTTTCATAGATGTGCGTCGTATAAGACTTCGACTACGACTAATACCTTTGTCATTTTTGTCATCAAATTCTTTTTTTTTGAGTCGTTCACTGACTTTTCGTCTTAATATAGGACTTAATTGTCTTGCTGCTGATAATTGTACAAGACTAAGTAGTTTAAGAAATATATCAATTATTGATGCACGATCAAGTGCTGTGCATTCAGCTACACGACAATGTAATGGACCAAGTTCATTGACCATTGTATGGACTTGTTGTTCTTCAACTTCACGAACAGATGTACGATCTGTTTTATTTCCAACAACAACAATTGGTATTTCAGCATAGTTTGTTCGTTGTTCTTTTATTTGTTCAATTATACGACGAATTTCTTCAAAAGATGACATACTATCAACACCTAATATTTTCATTAGGAAAAAAAACATTATATTTATGCTTGAATAAGATTTTTAAAAACTTACTATACACAAGAATGAATGCATGTGATGTTGCAATTGACAAACGACGCATTGCAGGAAATTCCATATTACCTAAATAAATGTAGAAAAAATGCATTTAAAATTCTTTTTAATAATTTTTCTTTGCTTATTTTACCAGCTGTATCTAATATGTCAACTTTAATCGTTTTATCATCAATAGTAAATTCTCGATAATGTAAATCTTCAACAGTTTCTTTATATGTATCCAAAAATTTTCCATTTAAAAACATATGAATTATAGATGATTTTCCTGTACGACTTGCTCCAAGTAAAACAAGACGATAACGTGTATCTTGATCAGTCATATTGATTAGTTTTGCACAATGTGACGATGTTGATAAGAAATCAAAATCCTAAATTAATTTTTAATTTTTCGTTTTGTTTTTTCTGTTCAAAACTTTAATAATAGAATATGGATAAATTTTAATGTCTATTCATTTATTTTAAAAAGAACAAATTGTTTCACTATCTATCTTTCTTGTTCTATTTATAAGTTACTAACTATAGAAAAAAAATCTGCGGAAAAAAACAAACTAAGCCACTCAAAGATCATACAAAATCTTAGTTCTGACTCTTTTATTTCAGCAAAAAGATAACGACTATAGCTGTCGATGCACAACAATATTGAGAAACCTGATGAATGGATGTGCAACACAAAGAAAAGAGCAAAGAAAAAAAAAGAACTAGAGTCGTCGAGCACTGCTGTCGAAGTATAAGTAAAAGAAAGTATCTATAATATGAGGTACATGCTCGTGCATAGGTTTTGCATGTTCATGATTCAGAGAAGTGAAAAAATCAACCAAAAAAATGTCCCACCGCGTATACAAGATTGATTACTAGCAGAGATCGTTTCTCATCAATTTCATGTTTTTATATAATATATGATTAATAGTAAATAATCAGTAAATAGTTGCCTTTTTCCTTTGTTGATTTTTATGATAGTCAGAAAAGAACGTATAGTAGTTGAGCATAGTAACAAATAAAAGCGAGGGAAGAAGACGAAGAAGGAAAAATGAAACGGGAGTTTGAAAAAGCAATGTGAGAAATAAAAATAGAATAGTATATGGAATGAGTGTTTGAATAAAGAATACTGATAAAACATGGTGTTTATGTCAATATATAATCATCTTTATTTATTAGGCTTTTACATAGAAGTAAATATTTAAATGAATGAAAAGAAATTTACAAGAAATATAGATATTTTTGGTGTTTTTTTAATAAATAATCAACAGGTAAAAATCTGTCATTTTATCTTTTACCGTTGACTTTTTTCTTGTATTTATACTTAACCATAAATTACGTCAAGAAAAATGATTTTTTTTTCTATTTTTGAGTTCAGTAATTAAGAAAATTGCATACCCCATTTTCCTGAATATCCATTACAGCTGAAATAAATTTGTATGTTCAAATAATAACAATGTCGATGAGAATTTTTGATGCAAGTATCTATAGGTGGAATCAATATAAAAATATTAATAAAGTTTGTATTCTTGTTGAATACAGATCTTGCAAGCCAATATAAGTAAAAGAACGATGGATGCGAAGCAGAGCGAAGGAGGAAACTAATAATAATTGGTATTAAAAAGATCAGTGAATGTTGATGTAAAAAAAAAGATGAAGAGAATAGAGAAGATGAGAAAAAAAAGAAGAAGAAAGAAAAAAAGAAAACACCGTTAAAAGTTCGACGGCCGCTGTTACTCTTAATGCACGGCATACGATGAATTGAATTAAATGATGTTGACGACAAAATCGCTTGAGACTTTTAGTTTGTGTCTCTATACACCGGTATACGAAACGAAAGCATAACAATCGAGCAACACATATACACATTGAGAAGTCCCTCAAATTGTTTATAGTGAAGAAGAAAAGGATATGGATCGCCTGACAGATGATGCGCACGATAAGACTCTGAAAGAGTTAGAAAGGAAGTCGAAGTAGAAAATAGTAAATTAATGAAGATAGTTGATTCTATATATAATCTTTTTTTTTAGCAGATTTTAGAGCATCGAAGAATTGCTCAGCGTATATAATTTGTCAATCAATAAAAGCAGAGTGAGAGAGAGAGAGAGAGAGAAAACTGACAAATGAGCAAACTCGACAGTGATTATGTAGAGTCTGAATGTTGGTAATTTCGTTATATATATATCTCTACACATTTTATAGGTGGTTAGATTTGTGCTGAAAGTGTTCATTTCCCTTTTCTAACTTGTACATCGCTTATATCATGACGATTGAATAGTTGTAAATAGAAAAAAAACATGAAGGAAAACGAGAGAATCGTTTTTCAAGTACTCTTAGAAGCAACTCCATACGAGCCCATTACCATATAGTAGTTTATTGCTAGCATATACATGAGTAGTTCTACTAATATTCTCTCTTTCTTGGTTTTCATTTTTCTTCGCTCTTTTGATCTTAATATTACTAAATATCAATATGTGCGTCAATTTTGATGAATATGTTCAATGAAATGCAATGATGCGCTTCGTCTATTCTTTTATAGTTTTTTTTATTTTATTGCACATATTAGACAATAAATCGTAATCCATCTAAACTAGAAGCATGACACACACACATTATTGTTGTCATTTATATTTTTTCTAGTTAGCATAATCATTTTTTTTTTTCATTGTCTCTTATTTCTTCTTCTCGTGTAACTTACTAATTGGTTATAGAACTCTTTTTTTTTTTCATCATTCAGCTTGAACAGATACAATCGTCAGACATGCTTTTGTAAACGTCATTCACGGCAACAAGCGAATGTTTCTCCTTTTTTCTGTATATGTCAGTCATAAGTACTACTTGCTCTCGTGTTCAATTAGATAGCAACTAACGTCACATGAGAAATTTGACGTCTAGAACATATAAGAATAAGAAAATGCTGTTGTAATCTGAATGTCTCACACATCATGGTATCTTAGCTTTTTTTCTTCTATTCTCTTAAAAAGATCATTCTTTGAATGACATTTTCTTATAGGATTAGATTTTTAAAAATTGCTTATCAAATAAAAAAAAATTACAAATACTTTCTATTGTTGCAATGAATTCTTAAAAAAAACATCTAACGATTATTATTTTCTTCTGAATTTAATATAGATTTTAACTTGATAAACCTTTCCTACGTCATCAATATATACTATTTCTGACAAAAAAAAAAAAAAGGCAAAAAAGAAAATAATTGTCGAGAAAAAATATGTTTAGATTATAAATATTTGCAAAATAAAGTGAAAAAAATTTTCTTTTTAAAGTCATGTTCACTAAAACTATATCTGAACTGTAGTGTTGAAAAAATTCTATAGTTGATGAATGGTGTTCTCGTTTACCTGTATTATTGTGAATGATGAGCCAGAAAGTTGTTGAGTATTGCCTGTTGCCACCTAACACGCTATTCGTCTATAATGAAAAAAAAAGAAAAAAATCTTCATAGTTTCTTACGGTATGTCGAGATCTATGCCGAAATATGTGTGTGCGTGTATTCCGGATGTTATTAGTGTTCTTTCATCCGCAAAGATCTGTCTGCCTCTTAGGCATAGGCAACGAATGAACAAGAACATTACCATAACCTGAGCTTTTTGTAAAAACTAAACGTAATAACTATAATTTTTTTTTCTATCTTATGAATGGAACAAATGAAATAGTTGATGGTGTATCGAATGGCATATATAGACAAATGTAACGTCTCATGCAGCACTGCAATGAAGCAATTTTTTTTTTATTTATTTCTCTTATTTTTTGCTATGTTAATATTGCTGTTTCTAGTACCGATGACGATGGTGATAATGATAATGTATTGATGTGTAAAACATTTACCTTATTTATTCAGATCTTTTTCTCATGCTACTCACGTTCATACATACTAGAACTAATGACGATAGTGTCTATGAGTATAGAGAAAAAGTTATATTTGTTCTAGTAGAAAAAAAAAAAGAAAAGAACTTAATGGCATGTGAATATTTACGAGCAATCTAGAATCAAAAGGACAGATGTAGATAAGCCATTAAAGATCATAACGTCAAATCACAAATGCTCATTAATTTGAACTCAATATTATTTGATTATCGTTCAAAAGCTTGTTTTTTATTCGATAGTAAATAAATAATAAATGAGAAAATTTTTCACCCAAATTCTTCTCTTAATATTCATTATCAGTCATGTTGGATTTTTTACTTTCTTTTTTTTCTTTTGAATTAATTATATAAAATCAACGTTTTTTTTTTTATGCGTCATGTAGTTTATTATAATTAGATGAAATATTAGATCGATGTGAAAGGCAAATAACAAAGGTTTATAATAATTTATTTGGAATATAGTAATTCCATGCACGTATTTAACATCAGTCTCAGTAAAAATAGAAAACAGCACGTTTGATTTATAACATGCACAAATATATATAACTGTCCCTGAGCCATTCATCAATTATTATTAATAGAAGCTTTAGTATGACAGATGTTTCTTGCTTTTTTTGTCATATTTTTTATATGCTACCAGGAAGTTTGCATCAAAATGCAGGAAAAAGTTTATCGACTAAAGTATTTTTTTTTTAAAGTATCTATGAAGTTTGCTTTGCAGTTATACAGTTTGTTTGATTCAGGTTTTATTTAACCAAAAATTAACAACTAAAAATAAATTGAAAAACAAAAATGAAATAATTAATATTTATTTTGTATGTCTTTGGTAAAGATTCTGATTTATTTCGAAGAAAAAATGAGAACACTGCATGAATAATTGAACAGTCATATTTTACCTGAAGGCTAAATTGTCTAAATATACAAGTCAAAACAAAAAAGAATCAATCGATTGGTCATTCATTGAGGCACAATAATAAACAACTTCACATTGAGCTCATATATCCACTAGGCTTTCTTTCGCACGCATGCATGCATACTACTGTATACATGATCAACTAGTGACACATTGATTTAATCTGTTAGGTCATCAATTCATCCGCTCTCGTTTGCTGATTGAACATGTCCTGAAGGCTTAATATGCGAAAGAAAAAGAAACTGCATTAAAAAAAGAAAAAGCGAGTATATGAATGATAATACGCAAAAGACACAACTATATACACAATATAATTCACATGAAATTGTCTCTATAATCGAACTTATATTCTATTGTGAATTACAAATGAAAACGATAGTATTAATAATATTTATAATCATATTATCAATTGATTATTCTAATCCAATAGATCCACCATTAGGAACATCTAGTGTAACATTTGTATTTGATGTAACTGGATCAATGCATGATGATCTTTTACAAGTTATTCAAGGTGCAACACATATATATAATGCAACACTTCAACGAGAATATGCTATTTATGATTATATACTTATACCGTTTGCTGATCCAGGTAAATAGAATAAAATATCAACATATTTTCATTAATATATATATATATATATGTTTATTGATTTAGATGTTGGACCAATATTAAAAACTCGTGATCCAAATCGATTTCAACGAGGTTTACAAGATTTAATCGTACAAGGTGGTGGTGATTGTCCAGAAATGACAATAACAGCTATTAAATTAGCTCTTGAACAATCATTACCAAATTCATTTATTTATGTATTTACTGATGCTCGTTCAAAAGATTATTTATTAGGTGATACTGTATTAAAATTAATTCAAGAAAAGCAAAGTCAAGTAAAAAACACATGATTTTTTTTTCTTTTTCATTGAAATTTCTTTCATTTGTCTTTCAAACAAAGGTTGTATTCGTCATGACAGGTGATTGTGGTGATCAAGAGCATATAGGCTATCAAATATTTCATAAAATAGCTGCAACTAGTAGTGGACAAGTATTTACTTTACATAAACAACAAGTTAGCGAGGTATGATTGAAATGAATTTGATCATTTTTTTTCTGTTGATTTGATTTATTTTAAATTAAAATAGATTCTTAATTTTGTTCAACATTCAATTCAAACACGAAAAGTTAATTTATTAGTTATTGATAAAATTAAACGAAATAAACAAACTTATACATTAGCAGTTGATTCTAAACTTCTTGAATTTACTATATCAGTTAGCGGTGCTAATCCACAAGTAACATTAATTGATCCATCAAGTATTATTATATTTCAAATTTATTCATTAATTGAATTTATAATGTTCTTTTTTTTTTGCTGTATAGGAAAAACATTAAATCAACGTACATTGTTTACACGTCTTTTACGTCTTAAAGAAGTTTACATATTAAATGTAAAACATCCAATGGTAAATTTAATTCACTTTAAGATTCAATTATAATCATAATATTTTACTTAATGTCTTGCGCACGGGGTGTTATACAGAATATGAATTAATATTAAATAAAAACTTTATATCAAGACTAAGCTCTTTTTCTTATAATCTGGATTTGACAGAAAAGTATTATAAATTTTTTTCTTGCTGAGATGTGTTTACTCAATAGATGGAAGAAGAAAAAGAAAACGCTTAAATATGTCCTATTCGAGTGTACTTAGACAGGATATGTTTTTCTCAAATGTTTTCTCAATTCAATAAAAGACATAATATATTTTACTAATCGAAATATATCATTCGATAGTTTAAACACTTCTTTGTCGAGCCCAAATTATAAAAAAGATCTTAATCTTGATACAAAATTTTTAGTTAGTGTTTATTCACCCTCGGCAAAATACACGATATAGGACACTTATTATAGCAAGAAAAGAAAGCTTCGATCGACAATCTTTATAACCTTGGTTGCTAAGGTCTGTCATAAGAAGGAAGAGCCTATAAAGCTTCTACTTAAAACTTACACCAATTATTTTCTTTAAAAATATATGTGACTTCCACAAAGTAACAAACTATTTTTAGATGTTTGTTTTATTCAATAATATTGATCAGTTAACTAGAATAGACATAATGCTTGAAATAATTGATAAAATTTCCCATTGCGGCTTGACGAGTAGTTTCATTCGATAGTATTATCTTAATGCATATAAAATTCTGAAAAAAATTGGACATTGTCGAGCTTTCTATAATGTTTTCTTGTGAATTATAGTCACTCGAAAGAGAAAAAAAAAACTGTTTGAAACTTAATATACTTTGAGTTAATAATGTGAAAAAAAAAATGAATCAATCATTCGATTATTCTTAAGTTCGACAGAAATTCTTTATACCATCATTTCTATTTACGTTAAATTTGTTCGACATTGATCGACAAGTTTCATAGATATCTTATTTGTATAATTTGATTTAAGATTGGTGAATGGAAAATTCAAGTAATATCATCATCAGCACATTCAATACGTATTACAGGTTTAAGTAGATTAACGTTTCAGCATGGTTTTTCATCAAATCTAATTACTGATTTAACACGAACACGTCGACAACCCATTCAAGGTGAATTCATATTTAATATAATAAAAATTTATTTGATTGATTGTTTTTTTTTTTTTTTTCTTTTGAAGGTACTTTAACTTATTTAACAATTGAAATAAATAATCAAGATAATGTTCGTAATGCTGAACAAATTGAATTAATTGATTTATTTGGTAATGTACTTAACAGTGAGAAACTTCAACTAAATCATGTTCATTCGACATTATATTCAACTGTTAGAAAATTTGAACCACCTGTTAAAAGTTTTTTCTTTTATATTCGAGTAATTCATATATTGTGTTTTTTTTTTTTTCATATAATTTTATTTTAATTTAAATTTTAAAATTCAATTTAGTTGTCTGGTATTGATAGTAATGGTCATTGTTTTCAACGTTTAAGTTCAACAGCACTAACATCTAATATTCCAACAAAACCAGTTGTTACTATTGATTCAAATTTAATTGAAATAAAATCAAATACTTCAAATAAAATTCAATGTCATATACAAAGTCAACTTCCATATCAAGTTCAATGGTTGAAGAACGGACAATTAATTTCCATTTCGAATTATTCGTATGAAATATTTTTTGTTTTTTTTGTTTGTTTTTGATTTAGTTTTGTTTAGAGCTCATATAACTACAGTAGAATATTTAATTGATCAACCAACAGAAATAAATGATGAAGGACTATATATATGCAATGTAACAAGTACAAGTGGTTATGATATTGGTGAAATAAATGTAGATGTACTTGGTAAGTTTAAAAAGAGAAAAAAAAAGATTTTAAATTTATTTTATTTTTATTTGTATTAAAAAATTTAAAATAAAATAGCTTCACCACCAATTGTTCAAACGGTGCCATCGAAATCATTATTTGCATTAGTTAGTAGTACTGTTTCAATTGATTGTCTCGTACAAAGTACAAGAGATTATAAATTAAACTGGAAACGAGAATTATCATCATCGGTATTAATGGAACCATCAGAAGCTCGTACAAGAATTTTTGAAAATGGCACTTTGGCATTAATGTAAATTTGCTTTTTTTCTTTCAAGAATAATTTTCTTGGCATTTTTCCTATTTTAACATGAGGTCTTCTACGGGATGTCCTCGGAAACTCCATTAAGTGTTAGCATATGAGATATTGACGATATTGCACGGACACACTTGATCGCACATACATAGGGCATTGCACCTGATATGAATGCTACGAAAGACAGACACCCGCGATAACCTACACAAAAAGTATCTCCAATATCTTTTATGCTAGTATTTAATATAATTTCCGAGGAAATCCTGAACAAGAAAATCTAATCCTCTATCTAGAAATATTCAAAAATCAGATGATGGTTCAGTATATGTATGTATTGCACATAATGAAGGTGGTAGCACACAAGAACGCATTACTATACATGTACAGGGTATGATCTATCGAATTTTTGTTGTTGTTGACATTTTAAATAATAACTGAAACATTATTTTTTACGATAGAAACTCCATATGTTTATGTTTATCCGCAAACAGTAATGTATTCACATGAATGGAATGTGACATTAACATGTGTTGGTACAGCAGGTATTCCACGTCCATTATTAATATGGCGACGACAAAATAATACAAATCCTGTGGAGCAATCTTCTAAGATACGAATTCATAATGGACTTTTGACGATTATATTGGCAAAAAAAGATGATGAAGGTATTGAATATTGATTAAAAAAAAAGTATATTTAGTATTTATGCTAAATTTTCTTAATCTGAAGGCTTTTATGAATGTATTGGAAGTAATGCAGCAGGTGAAGATATTAAAACAGCTCAATTGATCTATGCTGGTATATTGTTTTTTTTTACATCAACATGTTTGTATTTTATTTTATATAAATATCTTTACAGAATCACCAATAGTCTCAACAGAAAATTCTCATATACTTGTTTCACCTGGTCATGATGTTGATTTGAAATGTAGTGTAGTAGGTGAAACATATCCTGATATACGTTGGTTTAGAGAAAATGAACCTGTAAGGTTTTGTTTTTTGTTTTTAAATATTCAAATTTGAATTTTTTTGTTCAAGGTAACTCGTCATCGAACAAGTCCACATGGGCAATTACATATCAGACAAGCATCTGAAGAGGAAGATAGTGGTAATTATACATGTTTTGTGCAGAACACTGTTGGATCATCATCTGTATCAATTCGTCTTGATGTTGGAAGTAAAAATTAATTTTTCTTTAATTTTTTTATTCTATTTTTTTTTTTTCAAAGTTAAACCAACAATCAATATTCCCACCCAAGAGATTCAAGTTGAAATTGATGAAAAAGTTCAACTTGTTTGTGAAGTAGATGGTTCACCTAAACCCAACATAGTGTATTGAAAAGTTTTTGCTTTTGTTTACATACAAAAAAAAACATGAATTTGTTTATTGCTTAGTTGGTATCATAATAATACAGAACGTCCATATCAAAGTGATGATAGATCGACAATGATTATTACAAATGTTCAACAACATCATGCTGGTATTTATACATGTTTTGCTTCTAATTTATTCGGAAGTACAAGTGCTGATATCAATTTAACTGTTACGAGTATGTTTATAGATAATTTAATTTGTAGCAATGGAATTTCTTTTTCTTTGTTTCAGTGACTCCACGATTCACTTTTACATCTGACGGATATTTAAATGGTATTATTTCACAATCATTGACGTTACCTTGTAATCATATTGGTTTACCAAAACCAACTGTTAATTGGTTTAAAGATAATAATGTAAAAGACAATAATTAATCGAAATGTTTTCTGTTTTTGATTTCATTATTGTTTAGATTCTTGTTTTGACACATGATCGAATGACAATTGATTCAACAGGTTCATTAACTATTCATTCATTGAAAACAACTGACCGTGGTTCATATACTTGCGATGTTTATAATGAAATTGGTCAAGCAAAACAATTATTTCAAGTTGATGTTTATGGTAAAAATCTATTTAGAAAAAAAACGGTCTTTCAAAATAAAATGATTTATAAAAAAATATGATTCATTTGATAATACAAATCACATTTGACATCACTCTTAGAACAATATTCTAAACAAAACTATTGGTTTTATATAATTCTTTTATTTATAGTACTTAGCAACAAAAGTTGTAAGACTATAATTGAACCCCAAAACTGAGACTATACTCTAGTATTGATGTACGATAATTAGATAATTTCTAGCATATACAATATGAAAGAAAATTTCAAAATATTCTCACTATAAAGTTATTGATGAATTCTATTTGGTTGTTAACATTTTTTTAAAATTAATATATTGTTTTTGATATTATTAGAACCGCCCAGTGTGACAGATAGTTCTGTAGAAAGTGAACTTGATGTAAATATATACAACCCAGTTCTTCTTCTTTGTCCAATTACTGGTCATCCTCAACCAACTATTGTTTGGTTTCGTCAAAATACTGTAATCAATCGTAAGAATATCTTTTCATAAGTAAACAGACTATATCTTAAACAAATTTCATCATATAGATAATCAAAATATGAATATTTATTTACATTCAAATGGTTCTTTAGAAATTCGAAAAGTTGACGTAACAGATAGTGATCGATATCATTGTATAGCAACAAATCAAGCAGGAACAATTACTCGATATATACAACTTAATGTTAACGGTATACATTTACATTTATAAAAGTTATTTTTTCTTATTTTCTTTTTATGTATTGTTAAAGTGCCACCTTGGATTGTTGATGCTGAAAAGGAAATAGTTATACAAGCTAAAATTGGTAAGACAATAACATTAATTTGTCCTGTAATTGGTACACCAAATCCAACCATTAAATGGTATAAATATGATAATCAACTTGAATCATTTGATTCAAATGATCAATATATATTAACAAATGTAAAACAAACTGATGAAGGTATTTATCGATGTACAGCAACAAATAAAGCCGGTACAACATATCGAATATTTAATATATCTGTTCATAGTAAGAAAATTTTGTTGTCTATTATTTATTTTTTATTGAATTTTAATAAAATAGTACCACCATATTTTGAACATAAATCAGAAAATATAAGTCGTCTTCAACAAAAATCAATTATATTAAATCATACACTAACATTATTATGTCCAGCTATTGGTTTACCTGAACCAAAATTACTTTGGTTTTATAATGGAAATGAAATTCAACCAAATAAAAAACATTATTTTATTAAACAACATGGAAAAAAATTTATTATTAATAAAATTAAAGTAAAACAAATAATATATATTCTATTCAAAATTCACATTTTGTTTGATCTAGTCTGAAGATGAAGGTCGATATGTTTGTCAAGCAACGAATAGAGTTGGATCAATTGATATTATATATGATATTGATGTCATGAGTAAGAAGAAATATTCTATTTTATTCATATAATAATGTGTTCTTTTTGTTCATAATTTTAATTAATTAGTTCCTCCAAAATTTAGTGAAGAAAACAATGGAATATTTGCAACAGAACAATCATATAAAACTGGAGAACATATGCGTTTACCATGTTCTGTAGAAGGAAAACCAATGCCTATACGACGATGGTTTTTTAATGGAAAAAATACGATTGATTTACCTCGCATTAAGTAAATAGAATATAAATAAGATTTTTTATTATATAAAATACAAGTATATATGTATTTAAAGATTTGTCTACGATGGTCTTTATATTGAAATTGAACATTTAACATTGAATGATGATGGTCGTTATACATGTCGTGCTGAAAATCCAGCTGGTCGTGCTGAAAAATATTTTGATATTGATGTATCAAGTATATTTAATTGACATCTTTCTAAAAAAACAAAAACTTTTTTCTATTCAAATAATTTTAGATCCTCCTGTATTTAATGATTCATTAACACAAGTTAAAATACAAGCATTAATTAATTCAACAGTAACATTACCTTGTTTTACTTATGGTGTTCCAAAACCGCTAATTAATTGGTTTTATGATACAAGTTTACTATCAGAGAATAAACAAGAAGCATTAATTATTGAACATGTTCAAGTTAAATAATTAGTTTTACTTCAATATAAAATTCTTTTTTTTTTTTTTGTATTTATTCAGGTTAATGATACAGGTATATATGAATGTATAGCAATGAATAAAGCAGGAGAAATTCGAAAAAAATTTATATTAGAAACATATGGTATAAGAAGAAATTTTCTGTTAAATATTGATTTTTATTGTTTTCTACATTCTTAGCACCACCATCAATTAATTTAAATAATCAAACAACTCGTATTATTATTCGTCGTAATGAAAGTTTAACACTCAAATGTCCAGCATATGGATATCCAATACCAATAACTCGTTGGTTAGAAATTATATTGAAAATTTTAAATGAATATTTATTGTAATTTTGACATAGGTATAAAAATGAAATAGAATTATATGGATTTGATAAAGAATTATTCATAAAATCAATTGATCGACAAGATGCTGGACTCTATTCATGTATTGTCTCAAATAATGTTGGGACAGATCGACGATATTTTAATATGATTGTCTCTGGTAAATATAAGAAAAAACTTAAATAATATTAATTATTTTTTAATATTTGTTTTACAATAGGACCACCGGAAATTTTACGTAGTCATATAAATATTCGTCCGAGTGTTGTTCGAGGTTCTTCAATAACACTTTCGTGTCCTTATACTACTGAACGATCTTCATTAATAGTCGTAACTAATACAACATGGATTCCTCCTTATTTCAAAACTGAACATGAATTAATTCGTCGTTCATTAAATTTAAATGAAAATCAATTATTAATACCAAATGTACAATTAGAAGATGGTCAAACATGGAAATGTATCGTTGCTAATGAATATGGTTTTGATTCACTTGAATTTCAACTTGAAATTCTTGGTATTTATAAATAAAAAATTTTTATTTTATTTTTTATTTTTTTTTATTTTATTTCAGTACCACCTGAAATATTAAATGATGATGCAGAAGAATTACTACAAGTGGAAAATAATAATACAGTTCAATTAATATGTCAAACATTTGCACATCCATCAGCTCAGATTTTATGGCGTAAAAATGGACATCTAATTGATTCAAATAAATATGTTATGTATGTTCAATGTTTTTCTTGTAACAACAGAAAAGAAATTTTTCTTTTTGATGTTCTAGAATAAAAGGTAATCATTCTGAAATTTTGCAAATATTTATAAATGATGAACAGGATGGTGGAACATTTACATGTGTAGCATCAAATTCAATTGGAAAAAGTGAAAAACATTTTTTTGTTGATATATTTTTACCTCCAACATTCGATTATGTATCAACAAATCGTCATAAAATTCAATTAAATCGTACTTATACATTACCATGTTTAGTTAAAGGTATACCAAAACCAATAATAAAATGGTTAAAAAATGGAAAGAAATTTTCTATTGATGTAAATTATTCAACTTGTTGTCTTTTTTTTTTTTTTTTCTTAAATCATTTTATTTTTCGTTTAGAATAAACGTATTCAATTATATCGCGATGATCAATATCTTGAAATTCGATATGTAAATGAACAAGATGCTGGAATTTATACATGTGTAGCTGAAAATTTAGCAGGAAAAGCTAAACAAAATCTTGAATTACAAGTTTTAGGTAAGTTTTTCGTTATTAAAACAATTAATTTTATGTTCTTAAATATTTTTCTTTAGTTCCACCACGTATTGAAAATGATACTACAAATATTGAAGCTATTTTTAGTTCAACTGTCAATTTAACATGTTCAGCATATGGAAATCCAAAGCCGACAGTAAGAATAACTAATTATTCAATAAAATTTTTAATTATTAAATTTAATAGATTGTATGGTTTAAAGAAGGTCGTCATTTACAATATGGTAATCATTATTTGCCGGTTGTGCTTGCATCTATACAGAATGCTATGCGTATATTTTATACGTGTATTGCTTCAAATGAAGCAGGAAGTGCAGAGCAACACTATCGTATTAATCTTCTAGGTACGATAAATGAACTTAAATTGTTTTTGTACATTGTAGATAACAATTTTGTTAGTATTAAAGGAAGTAAAGATCTATCCGATTAATGCTTGATTACTTTCCTATTGAATAGGGGAACTGAAATTAAACAATATTTCACTAGAAAAATTACTGATGATTATTCATTCGTATATTTCAAATTATTTGACATAAATATTTACAAACTTAAGTGTCATAATAATTATATATCATAATAGAAAAAAATGTATCTTTTCATATTCTGTTATTATTGAATAGATAGGTAGGAGACGTGAAAGAATGAGTAGCGTTAAGACTAAATTTCGGTCTACAATATTTGCAAGAAATAATTATATGAAGACAATAAAATCCAAATAGATTACAAACTTAGATAATCATTTTTCTTGAATTTTGGTCTTTCTGATGAATATCAGTCAAGATTTGTTTTGTTCATTTGCATTGAAAATATTATAAGGATCTTAAGGCGTTTTCAGGAGCAAAATTTAAGATTGAAATTCGAACATTCGATTTTTCTTGATAAGTCATAGCATAATATGAAGAAAATGCAGTGAATTAGTAATAACTTCAAAAGAAAAACCTATGGATATCAATCATTTTGGGGTTCTTTTACCTAGAGTTTATCCTAATTAATAGGGTAAGTTTTATCTCTAAAGTAATTTATCTCTTGTGGGGATCCGCTCATAAATATCATATGTTGTACAAATATGAAACCAGTTTACTCTTTCTTACAGTAAACGATACGTATACTGCCGTTCCAACTAGATGAAGAAAAATATTTTTTGGGCCAAATATCAAAGCAAATTATCTGCGCATATTTTCGAACACAAATAAGCAGAAAAGGTCTTGAGTGATATTAACCAGAAAGATGAAAATATCAATGAACAATGACGAAAACAGGGTATTTTGACTCGTCTATCGTAGTTTTCAACCTGATGCTGACTTTATTGATTAGCTAAACGTCATATTTGGATAGGGCATAAAAAACTACCTCTCACTAACACAATCTTACTTATAAGTTCAAAATTTCATAGTACATCAGAAACTCTTGACCAAAAAGTATTTTTGCTTATTCCACTCTCATGCTGTCCGTATTTCGCCATAGAAAAAAAAGAATTGAAAACTTCTAATGATCCTAATTCATTTGAATTTTGATAGAGCTTTGAAATTTACATATATAAAACCTTCTATCGGAGCTTTTGGCAGTTAGCATATGTGGGAACGAGATCAAACACTCAGTTTAGGACATGAAATCTGTATATAGATAAAAGTCACTCCGAATTTCAGCATTACATTTTTTCGAATTGTAATAGTGATATTCGTGGTCAGCATAGCCAATTTCATATTTCTAGTAAAATTTAAAAAACATTTTTTCAAAATCTCGTCGAGGATAGAGGTCAAAAACCACAAAGTTATTTCAAGGAAAATAACTAATCTAGATTTGTAGCACATATTAACCATGCTACTCTTATATACTTATTTCTTGAAAATATTTTGGACTGAAAAATGGCCTTAGCGCCACTCGTTCTTTATTATTATTCTTTCCTTTTTTGTTGACATAGAAAATTAATATTGAGATGTTCCCAGTTTATCTTTGTTATGTTGTTGTCTCTTTGCGCCATTTAGTTTTATTGATTGTTGATACATGATGTTTTAACCATCCCTTGTCATTTCTTGTCACTCCTTGTCTTTTTCTTCCTTCTTCCATAACTATGTGTTGCTAATGAGTTTACTGTGTACTTGTTATGTTCTCATGTTTAAATTATCGCGCTTCCTGGTCTTGTTATTTTGTCTTGTCTTTCTCCTCTCTCTCTCTCTCTCTTCCTCGTTTCACATATAAGGAATGCACATTATTGAATAAAGTAGATCATACATGATTCAACTAAACCCGTTACAAATATGTAGTATTTATTATTCTAAATATTTCCTGAAAGTCTGAACTACCTTGATTTTATTATAAAATAACATTTCTAGCCGTTGGGGTGCACGTTGACTTCATTTTTTTTAGTGAAAATTGATTCCTGGGGAGGCTAAGAATAATCTAAGGTTTCTAATCTATGATATTTATATATATATAATGGACGGCTCCTCTGGTAAAAGGAAAATGTCATGCTTTTCACTTTTCTTTTCTTAGTATCAGAAGCAAAAATCTAGAATAACACACACATAAAATGTCAGAGACGTCCTGTTAACAAAAAAAAAGCATAGCAAGTCATACGTCAATACAAAGATATCATAAACTAGATATTTTTTTAGATTTCTTTTAGTTTGATAGAAATCTAATCATAGCATAAAATCAAACTGTTTCTAACAGTTACTCATACTTTCTCATGAAAAATTCGCTAACACAATATTTTTAATTATATATGTTTAGTTCCTCCATCAATCGATTCCATATCAATAAGTCCAATGTCAACACCAATAGCTGGCAACCATTTTACGTTAGAATGTTTTGCTAATGGTACACCTGAACCAATCATTTCCTGGCATTTCAAAAAGTGTTTTAATCAATCTAATAAATAACAAACAATAAACTCTTTTGTTTTTTGTAGTCGTCGATTATCATCAGGACATAATCGATATTATCAAATAGTGCGTGCGTCATTAAATGATACTGGTTTGTATACATGTATAGCTGAAAATAAAATTGGTATTGCAAAAAAAGATATTCATATTGATGTTCTATGTATGTTTTAAGATTATTTTTATATATTAAATAACAAAATATTCTGTTTTTTTTTTTAGTACCACCATCGATTGTTAATAATGGTCAATTGATAAATGAGATAACTATATTAAAAGGTGAATCTGTTGTTTTAACTTGTTTACTTCATGCTATTCCTTTGCCAACTATCATTTGGACAAAAAATGAACAAATACTATTTGATTCAGAAAGGTTTGAAAAAAATTTTGCTTTTTTAAGTTTCTATCTATAATTATATTTGAAATTAGAATTTCAATGAGTGATAATAATTTTCAATTACATATTGAAAATGTTTCATTAAGTGATCGTGGTCGTTATCAATGTCAAGCAGAAAATTTAGCTGGTCGTTCACAACAAATATTCGATATACAAGTTCATAGTAAATATCAAAGTTGAAAAAAAAAACACGAAACACAAAATGTAACTTGATTTTTTGTTTTTAGTACCACCAGAAATTCATCAAACAAATATTAATCTAAATCCATATGTTATACTTGGAAAAAATATTATTTTATCATGTCATGGATTCGGAGTGCCGGAAATAAATTATCGATGGTTCAAAGATGACAGAAGTCTATTAGAATCTCATTCATATGCAAGGTTGAAAAATAATGAAACGAATTATGTTCTTTCTTTAACAAGATTAGGTTCTACTTTTCTATCTATAGATTATTAGAAAATGGAGCTAGATTACAAATTGATTCAGCACATTCATCAGATGCAGGCTTTTATACATGTCAAATATCAAATGTTGCTGGTCAAGTAAATTTAACATATCTATTAGATGTTTTTAGTAAGGAAAAATATTTTATTTGAAAAAAAAAGATTCTATTGAATATGTTGTAGTACCACCAACAATTGATCGATCGAATTTAGTTGAAATTTATCAAGTTAAATTTAATCAAACAGCCCGTCTTGAATGTCCTATGTATGGAAAACCTGAACCTCATATAATGTGGTTCATAAATGGACGAGATTTGAATAGAAATAATAGTAAATTTTAAAAAGAAATAAAAATCTAAAACAAAAAAAAAAACTTCCTTTGAATAATTTAGATCGATATGAATTAATTGATGAAAACCGAGTATTAATTATAAATTCAGTTAATTTAAATGATAATGCACGTTACACATGTATCGGAACAAATATTGCTGGTGAACTTTCAAATCATATAGATTTACAAATATTTGGTATGATTATTATTTGATTATTCAATTAGCTATAGAAGATTTTATAATTAAATTTAGTTCCACCAACTATACAACGTGATCCAAATGAAGATAATGTCAATGTTATTCAATATTATCATATTGCTTTAACTTGTACAGCAAATGGTTGAAAATATTTATCGAGAATATATTTTTTTTGCGACATTATTGTTCTCGTTTTTTTTAGGTGATCCGTTGCCTTCTGTATTATGGGAAAAAGATGGTCTTCCTGTTGATACAACAAATTCTCGATATAGGTAAAAGAAAACATAGACAGAAAAGTTTCTTTAGGAAGATTTATGATATTTTGCGGTCTCATAGAATTGGACCATCTGGTTTTCAATTACTGATTATTCAAGCTGATCCAACTCAAGCAGGAATTTATACTTGTCTAGCCTATAGTAAAGCTGGTGAAGCAAAAGAACAATTCCGTTTAACAGTATTAGGTATTGAAATACTATTCTTAGTTTTTTTTTCTAGAGAAAAACATTTGAGATTTTCGAAAACTATTCAAATATCTTATTATCAAATTATATTGTATGATAAGAGAGTTTCTTTTGATTTAACAAATAATTAAAAAAAGAAAGAATAAAAAAAATCATGTTGATAATGAGATTCTATTCTGAAATTTTATCCAAATGAATTTACTCTCATAATAATGTTTACTAAAACTTATTAACAGACAACGATTGACAAGATAATTGATTCTATCAATAAAGATTTCTCCTAAAGAGAAAATGATGATTTCTTTAAATTTGAAAATTATTCACACTGAAAACATTCAATTCGATTCGATTCTATGAATTACTCACAATTCTGGTAGAATTCATATTGAAAATTTTCAAAACCATTATACTTCAGTTTGAATTAAAATACTGTCAATTCTCTCTTTCTTTCATTGATTTTCTGTTTTCAAACTTTAGGAAAGATCGGCCAAAACAGTAAACGAGAAGATCAATCCGACTAACAATCTCCATTTGAGTTCATGATTTTTTTTTTACTCATAGGTAGGACTTATAGTGTAGATAAAAATCTTGAAATGATTCGTGCCACCAGGCCTTTCTTTTCAAGTTATGGTCTCTTGATTGAACTTTCAGCCTATTGCAAGATACCGCGAGGAAAATCATAACAAGGCATTTCAGCCTGAAATTCCCTTCAACAATAACTATCGTGACCCTTATAACATTCTGAAAGTTTCATCTCAAACAAATGATTTTTCTCTTAAAATATCGTATGTCCAAAAACTAGACTATTTTTGGAGCTGTTATATAAAAGTAACATTTTTTGCGAGCGTCTTATCTCTGAAATAGAACATTGTTTTGAGCTAAAGTTTTCAGAACATCATAAGGATCATGAGAGCTATTGTTAAATAGAATTTTAGGCCAAAATTCCTTGTTACGATTTTCCTCGTGATATCCTACAATAGTCTGAAAGTTTGGTGAAATGGCCATAACTCGAGAAGAGAGATCAAATGACAGGAACTCTTTCAAGATATTTATTAGCAAAATGGGTCCTATCTAGGAGCAAAATATGAGCTCAAATGATTATTATCAGTCGATTGGATTTCATCGAAAGGAATTTTCTAGAGTCAAAAAAAAGTAATGATCTGTTATATTTCGTCATTTTGAATCTGATTAATTTAACCTACATTATATAAAATCAATAACAGCATATTTGAATAATTTTTCTTTACTTATAGTTCCTCCACGAATTCAACGAGAAAATACATCATTTCTTGTCATAGTTCCAAAGCCTGTCGAGCTGCCCTGTCATGTAATACAAGGTCACCCAGTACCCATTGTCAAGTACGATAAAAAGAATCATCCTATTTCAAAAACAAAAGACGCTTTTCTATATATATTTAGATGGTTTCATAACGATGTCGAATTAAAAGTATCTGCAGGAAGTATCGATTTAAAATATATAATATCATCATCAAACAGCTTACTTCTGCTTCATACATCCAAAAATGACAATGGTAAATATCAATGTATAGTCATAAATGAAGCCGGACAAGATTCTATCGACCTTCATCTAGATATATACGGTAAACATTCAATATTTCCTCATTATAACATTTTTTTCCTCTCATTTTTTTTTAACATACTTCCTGAACAAGGCAAACAACAATCTCCTTTTCACTTCCGTCTTGTTTCGCATTTTTCTTTTTCTTTATGATAAAGCTTTATTATGCATCTAATATTCTTTCCTTTTTTTCTCTATATTAGTTCCACCGATAGTCACAGTAGAGAGCAATGAAATCATTGGTATTGTTAACAAACCTATTACACTTAATTGTCATGCTGATGGATATCCATTACCGACCATATACTGGACGAAAGCAGGTCATTCAATTGATACTCAGCCAGGTAAATGAAAAAAGAAAAATAATATACGATGCATTAATAATATTACTTAGATCATACTAAAAGTAGTAGCAGAGATACTTTATTTCGTTATAAAAAGCTTAAAAGTATTCTTCCTCTAAATCGACTAATAGTAAAAACGATACCCTATATTTCTGTGGCTATTACACTATTCTTCAAGTAATGTCATAATAATAAAACTTCAATAAGATCTGTTTTTGTATTATGTGCGACACTTATACTAATGTCTATTTAAAAAAAAAGTGGAATGTCTATATTTTGAATAATTTTTGATAGAAGCAAGACAGAGAATTGTAGTTTTCATCGTTCGAAAGAGAAGATGAAAATACACCAAGCCATATATAATAATAGTTTTTTTTTTCACATGGTTTTTTTAATGTTTTCAATTGATCTCTACGAAAACAAACCTACCCCTTGAAGCGTTTATAACAAATTTTCAATTGTCATTTATATATTCTAACCACCAAGAGAAACTCTACAAAACTAGAGAAGTTTCAGATATTCAGAGTTTAACCATTCAGGAGTTACAGACACCCTAATCGTAGTTCTAAGTAATTTTTTCAACCATTTCTTTAAAAAAAAGTTTTTTTTCTATTTTGTTTTCCAAAAAAACCATTTTGTCCACAATTAGAAAATTGATCAAACAAACTTTAGACAACATAGTAGAAAAACGTATAATATACGATTCAATGCATCTTTGTCTCCTCGTTCGAACGATGAAAATTGCAGCTCTCTATCTTGCTTCTATCAAAAGAAAGTTATTCAAAAAAATATCCATTCCACCGTTTAAATAGGCATTAGTATAACCGTCATATATGATAGAAATACAAGTTTTATCAAAATTTTATTATAATAATGTTACTTGAAGAGTTATGTAATAGGAAAGAAAAATAAGGTGTTGTTTTTACTAACAGCCCATATGTAGAAAAAATTACTTTAAGTTTTTTTCTAATGAATTGAAGTACCTCCGCCACTACATTTGGTATGACTTATATAAGTACATTATGTTAATCTATATATTTTAAAAATGCAGGCCTTCTGGAAAGACAATGTTTTTCATTGGTTTATAGAATATATTCTCCTTTTTCAAAGTATTTACAATTAATTTATTACCTTACATAGTTAAACAAAATGGTGTAAAATAAAAAGAAAGAGAAACGATTAAAAAATGAATTCACATCTGTCTCATAAAGTAATTACAAAAAGTGTTCATTATTCCACTTCTTCAATGTTCACATTCAGAGAAAAAAATGTCTTTTTAACTACTTATGAAGAAGTCTATGTTCTTCTTTCAAACTATAAGTAATTTAATTCTGACACATTTGCATAAGTCAAATGATGCAAGACAAAACAAAATAGAAAATACCGACATACTAATTTAATAATTTGAATATGAATTTATCAAAAGATTCTTATGTAAAGTGATACTCAATTATGCTTAACTGTTGTCTTACATGTTCATTTTGATAAAAATTGACTTAATTAGCATCTTCTAGGTTCTTTTTCCTTGGCGGGTTTATAAAAAATCAAATTAATTATCATCTGCAAGGTCTTTTCCTCAGATCCATGACAAAATTAAAAAAAATGTTATTCTATCATTGCGTGTTTCTCTTTCTTCTTTTTTTTCTTTTCGTGTCATTTCTTTTTTATATTAGTCTATGATTAAAATAAACCATATGCAGTCCGAAAGAAGAGAAAATTTTCCATCGAATAATAAACAAATTTCTTCATAAAATGCTTTCACCAATGAAGTCTCTAGATCGACCTATTGTGACATTAGTTATATATCGGATGTTAAAAAAAAGGGAAAGAACAAAGCACACAACTATACAGATCCATTATGTAAATTACATTTCCTTTGTTTCACAACATGAGTCTTTTTAATTTTCTTTTACAAACAATTTTCAAAGTAAAAGTCAATAATACAATTTGCATTGTTTTGTATTTTTAAAAAGGTTTTCAAATCTTAAATAATGGTTCATTGAGAATTCATCATTTACAAGTTCAAGACACAGGTTATTATATATGTTGGGCAGAAAATCTTGTTCAGCGTGCTTACGCACAAGTTCGATTAGAAGTTCAAGGTATTTTATTTTATTTTATTAATTGTGTATTTTAGAAATATTTAATATTTTTAGTTCCACCATCAATTAATCAAATTGAAAGATACTATACTGGTATTGTTGGTCAATCAGTAAAATTATCTTGTCAAGCTAATGGAATTCCTATTCCAAATATAACTTGGAATGGCATATATAATATATCAGGAACAGCTATTATTGATTCATTTGGTAATTTATATATAAATCAACTTGAGTAAGTCAATAATTAAAATGAATAGAAGAAAACATTCGAATTGTCATGTATTTAAAAGAAAGCATCATGCTAGTGAAATTATGTGTTATGCACAAAATACAATTGGTCAAGCATCAAAACAATTTACTTTAATTGTTCTTGATCCTCAAACAACAGCAACAACAACAATAACAACTGTTATATATGAAAATATTCCAAGTAAATTATTTTTTTTTATTCTTGAGAAAAGACTTTAAATTATTTATTATAGCACAAACTCCTTTTCTTATAATATCACCAAAAAATATAATTGTTGATTATGGTGATAACTTGGAATTAATCTGTCAAACAAATACAATTAATCCCTTTGACATTCAATGGTTACATAATGGTCATTTAGTAAATAATAATAATTATTTAGCTCATTTTTATGATCGAAATATTCTTCGAATAAATAAAGTTATTGATAAACATACAGGAATTTATCAATGTTTTTCAAATAATTCATTTGATCAACAATTTATTAAGTCAATGCCTGTAACAGTTACTGTTCGTCGTAAGTTTCTTTTTTTGAATAATTTTTAAGATTTATGAGAATTTAAATTTATTCTAATATTAAGCTCATCCGAACAGTCGCAATCGTGCAATAATATCTGGTCACCGTTTAATACTTTCATGTGAAATTGAAGTAGGTGAGAATGAAAATTTTCTTGGTACGATTGAATGGTTTCATAATGGATCACCATTAAAATTAAATTCATTCAATCGAAATAGGATTGATTATCGAAATGGTACATTAATAATTGATCAAACATCAGTAAAATATTCTCTATAAAAAATTTTTTTTATTTATAATTTGATTTTTGTTTTGTTTATTTATCTATATATATAGGGTTCAGATTCAGGTGTTTATAAATGTGTATTTCGAAATGATAATGGTACTCGTTCGGAATCCTATCATTCAGTTAATATTCTAAGTAAAGCATATGAACGCGTTACATTTTTTTTTTCTTCCTTTTTTTCTCTTTTCTTCTCATGATCTATTACGTTGTGTTTCCCGTCTCTTTTTTTGTCGAATGTCTTCATCATTTCCGATTTGTGCATGTATGTTTTTGTTTGCTAATGTTTAGCTCAACCTACGTTTACAATTAAATTGCCTCGGTCGGCACAACGACCTGTCAATGGTTCAATGCTTATACTCAATTGCCTTGCCGATGCATGGCCTGAACCAACATTAAAATGGACAAAAAATGGAACTAGTCTAACAGGATTCGATGATGTTCGAATACAAATATTACCTAATAATTCATTGAAGTAAAAATAAAACATATGAAAATCATTTGATTTAATCAATTTCTCTTTTGTTTTTTTCCTAGAATATATCCAATACAAATATCTGATACTGGACGTTATACATGTTCAGCTGAAAATGCACTTGGTATTGCAAAAACTACCTGTGATGTTATTGTTTATGAAGGTACATGAAATTTTTATTGATTTATTTTTTTGGATGATTTGATTCATTTTTCTTTCACATAATGAATCATAGAAGAGAGATTTTACAAATAAATTCAAATCTCCATTTATTTTATGTCATATATGTCTTGTGAAAATTTTCATTTATGCAAAAATGATGAATAATTTATATTAGAATGATTATTATCAATATGATTAATAAGAAAAAATTTTTAATCATAAAAGGCAAATTTGTGATTATTATATTCAGCTTTATTTTACATGAGATTAAATCTTAATTCATCAAATTCATCGAGTATCCATTGTTTCATATTCGAACAAGTGTTCCTATAAAAAAAAAAAAAAAAAAAAAAAAAGAAAAGAATAATTCGAAATTCTTGTGAGAACTCATACAATAATGACAATATTGCATGTCGATGTAGGAGTATACTTGATTTGAATAAGTACCTAACTTCATCTTTATCGGTGAAGAGACATGTCTAAAGCAATAGAGGAACTAACGTTTTTGCAAGAAGTACATTATGAACACTTCTATATCTGACTTGTTTAATCATTTTCTGACAACTATCAATATGTTCACATGTTTTATATTTATATATATATATATATATATATGTCAGTATTTCTTTCATGTGTTAGCTGTCAAATAGTTGGGAAAAAATTTCATTGTAAGATAGTGAAAAGAAATGAGAAAGAGAAAAAGAGGTCCTTCATCGACACATTATCGAAATGAGTAGTTGAAGAGGAATATGGTCAAAAGAAAAGAATAACGATCGAGAAAATTCTACTACTTGGCCTGTGAGAAGAGCAAAAAAGGATGCTAGTCGTTCTCAGAAGTAAATCAATCTGGAATAAGAACATCGTCATTCTATTCAATATAAGATACAAAAAGAAGAATAGATGAAGAAACGAGCTTGAACGAGATATGATCTAGCATGATAAAAAAAAAAAAAAAGAAAAAGAAGAAAAAAAAACTGATTTAGCTCAAAGAATAAATCTGCAGTCGAAAGAAGCAACAAAAAAAAACCATAAGAAGATAAAGACATAAGATCTTTCCATTCGGTTGACCGCTAAAATCAGTCGTTTCTTTTTTTTTTTTTACCTATGTTTCTTTCTTTTTCTTTTTTAGTTCCATTAACAGCATCTACTCGACATCTTCAGGGTAAACTAAAAAAAATCAATATCGATAATATTGAACTTCATTCAAATACAATTTTAAAAAAAACAACATTAAATAAAGTACAATCAAATCTTGCATCATTGTTTCGAACACTTTTTATTTTTCTTTTTCCACCTTCACTCATTTCTTTAACAACAACGGAAATTCGTGAAAATATATCATCTTCATTTTGTTCAATCGATGATAAATTTCAGCGTGATATGATTATATCATTTATCGATGGTAAAATCAACATAGATGATGATCAAATATTTCTTTACATATTCATTTTTTTGAATATACAAATCTTATTCTTATTGTATTTTTTTCTTTTTTTTTTTTTAGGTTCACATATTAGTATAATTGAAAGAGTTTCTGATAAACGAATTGAATTCAATGGTTCATATCCAGATGATTATGAGTTTAAAAATAATACATTTTTTACAGAGATAATGATTCAAACCGATTTGGGTATGTTACATAATGGTAGAGTTTATTGATAATTTTAGATTATTAACATAACATTATGTTTTATATCTTTGTTAATATAGTGTTCATATCAGTAATAATAGATTTCCGTTTTTTTAACGGTTTCTGTTTTTAAATATTTTTTTTAAAGGTCACAGAGAGAAAAAAAAAACCTGATGAATAGAGGAAAAGCCTAATGTCAATACACGTCTTGCATCTCGTCCTTTTCATTTCTAGCTTTCATGTCGATTTTCTTTCTTATTTTCTTCTGGTTTTTTCTTACATAGTCACATAAAGATGCATATCTTTATTCAAATTAACGCCTTGTCAACAACACCATCCGTGCAATTATTCGCATTGGTTCTATATATTTTTTCTTGTTTGGATCACATCACAGATGAAAATTTTTTTTGACTTGAACATACACACATCCTCTCATTCATTTTGTCTTCAGGGAATTTAGCTGTCTTTTGTTCGGTTTTTCTTCTTCGACGACATATCTCGTTTTTTTTAATGATCGTAATGGGGTAAACATAGTGTTGATGAGTGAATCTAAAGGCCGTAAAAAAAGAAGAAGAAAAGAAGTAGTGAACTGTGAATAATATATACCGATAAATACACTCTAGTAGAAATTAACTAATTATAAATGTTCGTATATAGTTTAGTAAAAGTTCGGTTTTTCTGTCGTTTGAAAATACATCAAGCAAAATTAATAACAAAAAAGCATTTTTTTAAATATCTTCGATAATTTCATCTATTTTGCCTTATACATTCTCTAGATTAAAATATAATTCTTTTTGAGTTACATATGTTACGAGTACATTTTTCTTAATTTGATTTAACAAAAAAAAAAAAAAAGAAAACAAGAAAGAAAATTTCAAAAATAATCTTCAACTTTTATAATTAACAAAAAAAATGAATTTTACAACAAATAATAACGATACAACAACAAAATTATTAAATGGAACTTTATGGTTTCAACAGCTTCAGCAAAAATTTTTATCTTCTCAATTTGGAACATCAAATCAACGAATATTACAACCAGAACAACGTCCACAACAACGTAAAACATTCTCTTATTTACAAATGGTCGAAATTTGTTTTCTTTATTTTATTGTTATTGAAAATCTAATTATATTTATATTAACATATAAAAAAAAATCATCAAAACAAACTTTATTTGATACTAAGTAGGATATTTATCTTTTTTTGAAAGAATAAAAATAAAACAAACCATTTCCAATAATTTCCCTCTGTTCATTTCGCATAGTGATCAACAACAGCAACAATCTCAACAACCCCGTTCAATTATTTTTCCATCAAAATCTTTACTCTATAATTGTTTACATCGTAATTGGATACGGGCATATTCATTTTCCAATATTTGTCTTTCACTTGTCTATTTTATAATCTTAATTGTAAAACACTATCATCCAAATCTTTTACATTATTCATCTATAACATTTTATTCTTTACCATTAACACTTGTACAACAAATATTAATAAATTTCAGTACATTTCATTTATTTATTATGTCAATAAGTATTTTACAATATTTTATTCGTTATTATCGTTCAATAAAAAAACAATATTCATTGAATGCACATAACGGAAAAAATCTTTTAATTACAAAACATACAAATGTTGCGTTAATTTTAAGTGGTTCATTAGCTCTTATATTTGGTTATAATTATATATTTTATACACCAAAACATTCACACACAATAAAATTACTTCCATTAATTACACTAAATATGATATTATTACCATTAATTGATTTAATCATTTTTATTTTTATTATTGTTTGTTTCATAATTAGTTTATATAAATATAATATTTTAATACAACACGATTTATTATTTGATAGTCAACTTCAACAACAACAGCTAGCAAATAATGTACGTTTAATAATTGAAAGAACGACATGTGTGAAATGTTATACAAGATTTTTACAACAAAATCGAAATGTATTTCAAGCTACAGATGCATATACAAGTTTACATTCAAAATTTTTTGGTTCTAATCTAATATCAAGTGCACGTCCATCATTAATACCATTAGATGACAAACGAAAATATTCAACAATATCTTATGAAAATATTCCAATGATGAATGATTTTCATTCACGTTTACGTGCATCTTATCCAGGTCAAACAACTCGAAATTTTCTTTTAAATAAATGTAATCATTCACAACAAGATTTTTCTAATGAACAACGAACTGATATAGGACGAAATTCAGCAAATGATTTATTTTTACAAACAACATTAGTCAAACTAAAACGACAGCGTCCATATTGTCATTTATGTTATCGTTTATTATTATTATTTCTTCTTAAATATGTTTTATGTACATTTCCACAACATTTTATTCAAATGTTATTTCATTTAAAACAATTTTATGAATATATTATTAAAGATAGTTCATCGAATAATTATAATTATGATCATAGTCATCTTAGTAAAAACAATTTAGATAATATTCTATCAGGACAAAATGAATTAACATTAACAATATGTCGATTTTTATTTTTATTTGCTCGTTTTGGTGATAGTTGGTTATTGACACGTTTACCAAATTTAATAAAAAATTATTTTCCATGTTGGTGCCATTTTAATTCAAGATTATTATGTAAAAATGAATCATTTGAACGACCATCACATCAAATATTAATGAAAAATACAGATTCATCAATACATGAACCATTCTCTGGTGATGATCTATCAAATTCACATGATTTAACAAATCAACAAGAATTACAACAACAACGACAAAATTTCAGTATGAATGAATATGCTCATACAAAAAATCATCGTTTTCGTTTACGTTTTCAATTTATTCCTATTTGGTCAAACAAACGACCACGATTATTTAAAGAAAATTGCTAAAACAATTTTCTTGTACGTTATTTTCTTCTCATTTTATGTTCTATGTTGTTGCTGCTGTTGTTGTTAGTACATGCTTGCACAGATAAATTTCTCTTTATGAAGTATCAAAACACATATTTCAATTTTTTTATCAATTAAATTGATATATTTTCATTAATATTGATTAGTTACTCAAGACGGAATAAGTTTTTTCAAATTATTCTTTTTTAAATTTCAATCATACTTCAATTCTGATGAACTAAATGCATGATTATTAATTACAATTTTTACTAATCTCTATATGAAAAGAACAGTTAATCATCTTATAACAGTTTGTTGACGATCTAAATTTCGTTTTAATTTGATAAACTAACAAAATAAGAAAGAATTTCATCTAGTAGAAAATATCGATTTTTTTTTTTAAAGTAATCTATCCAACGATAGACTTATAATAATACTGATAATAGCAAATAATCGAATTAGATGAAATGTAATTATCAAGAGAGAAATTCAATTAGTACTAGCTTAGCGTACGATATTTAATTTAATATCAAAATACGATTCATTTTTAGTTTGTTTAGAATTGACGATATGAGATAATGAAGTTGGAATTAATCTTGTTTTCTTTTCAAAGAATAAAAGCTTACATAGAACATTACTTATTTCATTGTGAATAGTATTATATTTTTTGTTCGATATTTGAAATAATTAACTTGATTTCTAATAGGAAAATACTAAGATATATTAATCTACTAGAAATTGAAATAAGTTAGATAAAAACAGTATTTATATTCTGCTAATCTAGATTCGTTTCCAGACTTTTCTATTGATAATAATTTCTTTTTTTGTTAATATATCTTCTAAAAGTTAATTTTAAAAAGTTATTAATTTGTAAGCGAATACTCAGAATTACATAATAATTAAAATGCATTACATCTAATGAGAGTATAAAAGCTAGACTATTTTATGCATTTTGTACTTGATATTCTGATAAAAGAAACCGTTTTGCTTTACAAAATACAATAAATACAGTAAAACTAACATATTAATTGTAATCTTGGATCTGAAAAGATTCCTAATTTTCCTACGTGAAGAACAATCGAATGTTTTTCAAATCTATTTTATTGTGTAAAAAGTATAAAATCTATTTATTGATTGTTTCTTCATTTAGAATAGTAGATTACTTCGCAAAAAAATTCATTTCTTTTTATGATTTTTGAATTTTTTTATTTAAAAAAAATACATCTAAAATGTTAGAAATCTATTCATGTCTTATTTAACAAAGCCTTTACAATGATTGATGACAAGTTGTACTCTTTTAATTTAATGTTGATATTATCAAATGGTACTTTCACTTTTGATTTTATTACTGTACTACTAACACTTTGAAGAAATTTTAAAATATTAATTTCACTCTCATAAATTGTGAATGTATAGAAACTATAATAATAGTTACTATTGTGAATCATGTAAACAGTGTATACCAAGAATTATTCAAAAGATTGATTCTCAATTTGTTTTCTGTTGCCATAAGCACTAGAAAAATTCCAAATAGTAATACGAATAGAGAAAAATGTTAACAATAAATGTATACAGAAATAAAAATTATTATACAATTCTCAAAGATAGAAAGTTCACAAAACTCAAAGGCTAGTTTATTAACATCTACAACCTGTAAATATAGATAGTTTTATTTAGACTATATAAAACAAGAGAGTAAATAATTATATACAAAATAAGACGTCCCCGAGTTCATCGTGACATTTTTTATGTTGAGATAAAGCAATATTAAGAGAGTCTCTAAAATCGTTTTTCTTTACTATTCTCTATAGAAAATCTAATTTTTTGATCTACAATTAAATTACTGTGTCTCAGTTAAGAAAGGTCGCAGAGAAACAAAATTATATTTACGTCTTGTAAGTATTGGAAAACTCGTGTTTTGGTTTTCTGAAGTTCTTATCTTTGGTAATTAAATGATAATTTTTATTTTCTTATATTCTTGTTGGAAACAATTCTCTCTATTCGTATCACTATTTTGATTCTTTCTAATGCTTACATCAGTATAACAAAAACTAAACATAAACCTTGTTGGATAATTTTGTTGTCGATTGTAGATATATATATATATGTACCCAATTTCATTGATGTAGAAAAACAAACGCAGT